ATGCGCGAGTTCTCTGCGAGCGAGCCGCGTGCACTGGCAAAGTCGTCTTGGGCTGAGCCGGAAGATGCCGAGTCCGAGTCCGGGTCCGAGTCGGAGGGGGAGTCGGACCAGATGGTGCTGTCACCCTCGTCGTTGTGTGCTGCGCTGCGTGAAAGACGTGCGCGCCTGTTCTGGTGGCTGGGGTGGCGTAAGGAGGAGGTGGAAGGCCCTGCCTGCAAGACGCGACTGGAGGCGGCGTTTGAGGGAGTAGGTGCTGCAACAGCAGAGGATCGGCCCTTTAACAAGGCTCGCCGCGCTTGGTGACGAGCTGCGGAAAAGGCGGGGTCGGGAAGTGCGCCGATGGCGGTGAGGATAGGTGGGCGAGGTGTTGCGGCCGGAGTGGCAGGGACTTGGCTTGTGACCGGCGCATCCTTTGCAGAGTCAGACGCGGGCAGGGCGGCTGCAGCTTGGTCTTCGTCTGGCCACGACTCGTCCAGATCGTCGGTCATCCAGTCTGGACGAGTGGCAGCGGGTGGTGCGACGGCACTTGCGCGCGGAGTGAGTGCAGCATCGTCGGTTTCCTTGTCTGCCCCGGACTGATCCCAGATGGAGCTGACGGTGTCATCTGCCTCGGTGGGCTCGTGGTCCGGAGGAGTGCCGGCCATCTTTCCCTGCACGCTGGAAAAGTTGGAGTCGATGGAAGGCGTTGGATTTGGCGAGGATGCGCGGTCGTGTTGCGCTTCTGTAGGGCGTTCTGTGGCCGTGCTGTTTGCCGATGCCGAGCGCGAGTGGGAAGATGGCGCAGACATATCGAGTGGATGGGCGGGTTGCTGCGTGGAGGCAGCCGTGTCGAAGGAGCGTAGATCCTGTGTGTCCGGGGTATCCATGGTGAGAGAGGGCGGCTCGAAGGAGTGCTGGTGAGGTCGCGACTATGTATGCGAAGACATGGAAGGCGCGGAATGATGTTTTGGCTGCACGCTAGGATGAAGTGGGGGTTTCGACGCGTCGTCGATGCGAGCGGGGGCCGGTGTCTGTGGTGTGTCGGATAGGTGATGAAGATGTGTGCAAAGAGAAGGTGAAGATCCAGCAAGGAACACCGAGGTGTATGGAGCGAGAAGGAGAGAGTAGTGTGTGAGAGAGCAACACCCGCCGTGGCAGCAGCAGCAGCAGCAGCAGAGTGCGAGTGTGAGTTGTGTGTATCGCTGCTGCTGCAGCTGCGGACCCTCTTTTTTAGGCGCGCCACGCGCTTCCACCTGCAGCTGCCGCTGCTGCCGCTCTGCCCGCTCTCCAAGCCGAGTCGAGTCGGAAAATCCCATCCAGAGCACGTGACCACAACTCGACCCCAACGCGTTCGTGTAGCAGCGGAAAGTCAGCCAAAATCGCCCAAATTCAGCCAAAATCAGCCAAAAATGCGAGCCAGCAGCACGGCGTTGTGGAGGCAGCAACGCGCCTTTCTTTTCGAGGTGTTGGTCTGCTGTGGAAGTTGATGTGTCGCTCTCTTGCACCACTACCACCATCCATCCATCAATCCCACCTATCCATCAGTCTCTACGCCACTCCCTCACCACGCCATTTCATACGTATGCTACGAGTGTGACGCACACGCCCCACTTTCCCTTGCTGACACGCCATGGACGCAGCCGCCCTGGCCACGCTGTTGGCCGACTCGACAAACAAACTCGTCGGCTTGCATTCCCAGATCGGCCATCCACCCGAGGCATTGCAAGGCGCCCTCGATGCTCTCCACCATGCTCTCAAGTCCGCCGTCGACGACCAGATCAGCAAGGTGCAGCGAGAGGCAAGCGACCTCAGCACAGAATGCGCACAGATCGAGGCCCACAATGCACACATCAAGAGGGCATTAGGCGAAAAGTCGCACGTCTCCAATCCATCATCCCTGCAGAACGCCATCGGCAAACGCATGGTATCGGCAGCCTCGCCCTCGGCAGCAACATCCGAATCCGCACCCTCCGAATCGCAACCACTCCTCCAACGACGTTCCCAGCTACAGATCGAACAGACGCGTCTCAAGGCCTCCTACACCACAAAAGAGGCTCAGCTCGACCGTCTCACCGCCAAACTCCAAACGTACGTGCCCCTGCTCGGCACGTTTGTCAAATTCCCAGAAGATGCCGCACACGACGCCGCTTCCTCTCTAGCCTCCGAGGCCTCGACGCCCACCACCTTCCGCGACGTCTCGCAACCAAGGATAGCCTCCTTCGAGGCAGAAATCATCCGTTGCTCCAAGGAAGTCAACGCCAGGGCAGAGAGGCTACAGACTACACTGCTCGAGGTCGTCCAGCTCTGGTCTGAACTCAACCTCGAACCTGCCCAGCCTGCTGCACTCTCCGACGAGCGCGTCTTTGACTCGGAACTAGGCGGAGACGACACCGACTGCGGCGGTGGAACGCTCGGCTTCGATCGCGCCATCCTCGCTCACCTCCAGCTCCAACCCATCCACGACGACCAAACAGGCTCGTTCATTGGCGAGTTCGTCAGCACCGAGCAGCCCGAACCTCGCGACACCGCCTCCTCGAGCAACAGCCGCGCCATCGATGATCTGCTCTCCCAAACGCCAACACGCGCCTCGCTCGGTGGACAGCCGGCTCGCGACAGCGGCGACCTTGCTCTGCAGCTCTCGTCCGCCACAAAGACCGCCGCAGCGCCCGCACCACCTTCTCACCTGCTCGAGCCATCCGAGGCCAACCTGGCAGGCGCAACCAAGCGTCTACAGTGGCTCGAAGCAGAGAAGCAGCGACGCGAGCTCCTCATCCAGGAGCTCTACGACGAGCTCAGCGAACTCTGGGCCAAATTCGACGTGCCCGAAGACGAGATGGACGCCTTTGTCATGGATCATCGCGGCAGCACCCTCGACGTCATCCAGGCCTACCACGCCGAACTCGAAAAGATGAAGCAGCTCAAGGCGCAGCACATGTCGCTCTTCATCACAAAGACGCGCGAACGCATCGCCACGCTCTGGGACTCGCTCTTCCTCACCCACGAAGAACGTCAGGCCGCATTCCCACCGTTCTTCATCGACGTCTCCGCCGACACAGACCCCAACCTCGACGAACCGCTGCCCACCGACGAGATCCTCGCGTCGCACGAACAGATGATCGACCACCTCACAGAGCAGGTGCGCCTCAAGGCGCCCGTCCTCAAGGTCATCGGCAGGTACAAGGAGCTCATCGACGAGGCGAGGCAGCTCGACGAGTCCGCCTCCGACGGCTCGCGTCTGCTCGGCCGCTCCAACCGCGGCGACCCGGGCCGTCTGCTGCGCGAGGAAAAGATGCGCAAGCGCGTCAAGATCCAGAAGCCCAAGATCGAGGCCGAGCTGCTCAGAGTCATCCCCGCGTGGGAGGAGGAGCACGGCGAGCCATTCACCATCAACGGCGTGCGCTACCTCGACGAGCTCATCGAGCAGGTCGAAGATGCAAAGGAGAATGCCAACCGCAAGAGGACAAGGACCGTTTCGGGTGCACAGCCCACTGCACCGCCCGTCAGCGCTCCGGCGAGTGTCCGACGTGGTCCTCTCGCTCCCTCCGCTTCGTCCAACCGCGGTGTGGCCGCCACGCCGATGAGGTCCATGACTCCGCATCAGGGTACGCTCAAGAAGCCCAGGATCGCAGCGACGCCAGCTACGGTTGCTGCACCCACGGCGAGATCCATGTCGGTCAGGCAGAATGCAGTGCCGGCGTCGGTCTCGCGCATGACCTCCGCACGCGTGCCCATGTCCGCCGCGCCGAAAGCACACTACTCGGCCGCAGGAGGCGCTTCGGGCATTCAGCGACCCGCATCATCGATGGCGGGAAGCTACCGCACTGCAAGCAGCGCCTCGTATGCAGCGGGCCCCAGCAGTCCGTCGCGCATCCCTGGTCCCTCGCCGCATCTCGCATCCAAGCCGTTTGGCGCTCCACCGCCGCAACCGAGCTACGGAGCCAAGGTGGGCGCGCGGCATGCAACTGCCTCGTCGGTTGGGTTGGCAGCGCGCACGGTCAAGGCGCAGCGCGAGAGCTTCCGACCGCGTCCCTCGCTGGTGGCCAAGGTGCCGCGCAGTGCCATCGTTGTGGGCGGGGCGACTCACACAGGCGAGATCGTCTCGCCCGGTCGAGCGAGCAAGTGGGGTGAGATGGGTCCGCCGCGTTGGCCCGCCGCAGGCCAGCCGGCTCACACGCACCGCGACATCTCGAGCATCTCGGCCAGCAGCAGTATACACACGGACATCACCACCGTCATCCGCCCGCAGGCGGGCATGGGCATGCAGATGGGCAAGGCACCCGAGCCCGTCAAGCGCACGCGCCGCGCGCCGTCCATGTCGCTCGAGGCGTGTCTGGCCAACCTGGCGGCGTCGTCGACGCACGGCAAGGCGCGCATGGGCGACGACGCTCGCGACCTGGGCATCTCGTCCATCCGCAGCGTCTCGTCCAACGACGACATTGCCGGCACAGCAGACGACGACGGCACCCGCGCAAGGGTGCATGGCTGGAAGGACGGTCTGCGCATCGCCGGTGCCGGTCTGGACGATGTTGAGGATGAACCGCCCACGCTGCCTCGGTCGGGAAGCAGCAATTGGGAGCTCGTCGGCGATCAGGAGCCAGATCACTATGCGCATCAGCATGCACTCGCCGCATGATCGCGCTGCGCCTCGCTTATACCCCCCCCCCCCTCTCGCCCGGACATTGGAAATCTTGCACTGTACACCACCATTTGCTTTCACACACTATGCTGCATCTTTTGACTCTAGACCATACCTTCTCCCCACCGGATGGACGAATGTGGTTTGCTGTGTGTCTGTTTGTTTGCGAGTGTGGGGGGAAATGCGGGGGGACACAAAGCCGAACGGGGCTGAGAGGGGCGACCGTGCGCACGCAAATCCGAAACCCGATTCTTGCAGGGTGCGGCGCGGCTTCTCTGCTCGGGTTTCGCGGAGACGCCTGGTTCGCTCGCCTCGCCATCATCTTGCTGCATCTCGTCCACCATTCTACGTCTACTCGCATCGATCCTACACGACAGAGCACAATATGAGGCGGGTGGTTCGACTCAGCCAGAGCGTGCCCAGCGCGTCCGCGGTGGCATCGGGCGCCTCAGCCACATCGCACCCGCACCGCCATGCGTCCACATCCGCACCGGCATCCACATCGCACCAGCGCCTCGCAACTCCCAAGGGCAAAGAACGCCACTCTCCCGCACTTGGAACTGACCCCCGTGCGCATTCGAAGAAGCTGCATCGCATCCCTCCGCCCGGATTGCGTTTGCTCAGCAGTGTCCCGGGTGCAGGACCCGCACGGCTCGGCATGGACTCGCAGGCGGATCTGGGTCGTCACTTTTACCTCAACAAGGTGCTCGAGCAGTGGGCGGCCAAGCCTGCCACGCGCATGACTTTGCGGCAGCTCATCTTCTTCGGACGCACGCTCGGTAGGGACAGGGAGAAGATCCTCAAGAGCGCCAACTACGTGCGTCAGGAGCTGCCCGTTCGCATCGCGCACCGCATCCGCGACCTCCAAGCGCTCCCCTTTGTCGTCATGACGAACCAGCATCTGGAAGATGTGTACCAGAAATACTGGTCGGCCTTCGAGACGTTCCGACGCTTTCCGCACATCAAGACCATGGATGACAACGAAAAGTTCTGCAACCTTCTTCGCCGGCTGCTCGATGATCATTTGACCATTATACCGTCGCTGACGATCGGGATCGTCGAGTCGTCGCACCACCTGCAGCCGCAGCAGCTGGACAAGTTCATGGAGCGCATGTTGCGGTCGCGCATCTCGCGGCGCGTGCTGGCTGAACAGCACATTGCGCTCAGCGAGGCTCTCGATGATCCCTTCCACTTTTTCAACGAACCTGCCCGCCGACCGGGCGAGGACGACGAGGCCGAGATGGATCTGGGCGACGATGGAGCGGGCGATCATGTGGGCATCATCTATACGCGGCTGAGTGTGGCGAGCGTGGTGAACAAGGGGATCAAGCTGCTCACGCCCATGTTCGCGAGCGTGCAGGGGGTGGAGGCGGAGCGTATCCCGCGCGTCATCGTGGACGGCGACCTCAAGGCGCGCTTTGCCTACATCCCGGAGCATCTCGAGTACATCGTGTTCGAGCTGCTCAAAAACGCCATTCGCGCCACGATTCGCAGCGGTGCGGGGAGCGAGCAGCCGGGCACAGTGAGGGTGACCATCGTCGAGGGCCCGCCGGAGGAGGATCTGATCATCCGCATCTCGGACTGCGGCGGCGGGCTGCCGGATTTGATCCAGCAGCTATCGGCGCCTCCTGTGGGCGTGCCGCAAGTGGTGGGCGAGACGGGCTTTGCATCGCGTCCACCCGCAGCAGCGCATACCAGCACCCCCGAACCCGCGGCGAGCTCGGACCAACAGTATCCGATTCCGTTCCCGGAGACGGGGCATATTGGTGGTTACCCGCCGCGTGGGTCTCGGGCTCGGTTGATGGACGACGATACGCTGCCCGTGACGCTGGACGATGCGCCGCATGCATCCCCACGCGCGGATGCCGCAGCGTACTATGCTGAGCCGTGGGCCGAGTTCTCCTCCGCCTCTTCGCGCATGTGGTCTGCTCGTGGCGGTGTCGGTTCCGCAGGGGGCGTTGGCGGCTCAATCCCACCAAACGAATTCGGTACCGTCGGCACCTCAACTTCCGCAGCGGAAGGCTACACGGATCCGCTCATCGATGCGCTGTGTTCGTTCAGCAATGTGCGCAAGCGACTTGCCATCGAATCGCACGCCGCCACCCTCGACCCTTCCGACGGCGACCACGGTGCCAGTGCCGCGTATGGCTTGCCTGCATCGGCACATCTCAATTCAGCAGGTCTGGGAACGAGGGACCGATTCGATGCGCTCAAGTCCATCGGCAAGTTCAAGGGCACTGTGACAGAGCAGGTTCCGCGCGGGAGACCCGTCCAGGCAATGGAGGGTACAGGCCCCGCAGCTCTGCACACCGTCCAGGTCGAAACGGGGCTCGGACTGCCCATGGCCAAGGTGTACTGCGACTTTTTCGGCGGCAGCCTGAGCTTCCGCAGCCTCGACGGTCATTCCACCGACATCTATGTGCGCCTGCCCAAACTCGGCACCAACAAGGAGACGATCGAAGAAATCGTCCTCTAGCTACCCAGATTGCAATGCGAATGTCGCTCAATTATTGATTGGTGTGGGTTAGTGCGACTCGGCACGGCGCTGGTGGACGCGTTCGAGCTTGTCTAGCACCTCCTGGCGTTCGCGCACCAGATGGAACAGCGTCAACTCCAACCTGCTCCATAAAGATAGGTCAGCACCAATGCAAATCGACACTGAGGTTGGGCGCACTTACTCTCTCTTTCGATCCGCTTGAGCACCACGCAGTGCCTTTTGCACTGCCGGATCGGCGGGCATTTCTGGTGCGGGGTGGTGGTGCAATTGCGGATCCGGCTTGGCGGGGGTTGGTGGCAGTGTCTGTGTGGGATCGATCGCTTTCGTCTCCTTGAGATCATGCAGCCTCATGCCGACGTAGTAGCTGGCGGGTACGATTACGAGTGCGGACAATGCAGCGACCCAGTTGCGCATCGGCACCCTTGGTCGTCCGCCCGCTCCCGAGCCCGTGCTGTACGGTCGAACCTGCTTGATCTCCATCTGTCGTCGGCTGAGGATGCCAGCACGCGAGCCGAACTGTCGCAAGTGCTGTACGCCTCCGCGTCCGAGCTGCGAGACCGCCCCCACTCGCGCGTCGAGGTACTCGGCCATCGACGCCGTCACCGCCTGCTGCTTCAGCTGCGTCTTGCTGGGCGGCGCCACGTCCGCATCGAGCGCAAGTGGTTTCCGACCGCGCGAGATGCCCGCTTCCGAAACGCCAAACGCCAGTCCTTGCATCATGACGTTCCATCCATCGCGCACATTCGACGACAGCCACACCACCGGCCGGCTCACCAGCAGTCGCGAGATGATGGAGCCCAACCCGCGCGGTAGTGGCCGCACCAGCGCGGAAACGAGCACAGCGCCGAGTGCTGGTTCGCTAGGTACGGCCGTGGGTACGGTGTCGCGCGTATACGCAAACTTGGCCTCGTCACCCGAGCTTAAAGCCACCATGCCCAGCGTTGGGGAGGAAGACACGGCAATCGCTTGCCAGTCCATCGATGCAGACGTTGGTGCGCGCCTGGAAAACATGCCCGGTTCGCCGGGTCGATAGCCTTTCGAGATGAGGTACGCAGTGGTGCGCGCCTCGAGCTTGCGCATGAGCGCATTCAGCCGGCCCTCGTACGCCCAAATGCCCGTAGTGAGCACCGACACGCACTGCGCGCCCATCGCCCTCTCCTTGTGCGAGCCTGCATCGTTTGCTATCCTGGACCTCCTGCGGCTCAGCTCTTCGTTCATGCGATGCGCCAGAATCACGTCCGTCATAGTGCGGTCTCCCACGACCAGCACACTGCCGCTTCCCTCCGCATCCTGCGGCACGCCAGAGCTGATAAGCTTGCGTCGCTCCTTGAGGTAGCGTCTTGTGGTGCTGCTGGGTCCAGCCTGGATCGTGGCTGAGCCGGGCGGCATGTGCTGTGCCTGGGCGAGCGTCGTCTCGCGATCGTGCGAGAGCGCCACAAAGTACTCGAGCGCCTCTGCAGCACACGCCCTCGCGGGCTTCTTCTGCTTGTGGCACAGCACGGGCACATTGAGAGCACGGCTGAGCGATTCGGCGCCCAGACCAGACGGGTCGTCCGAGGACCCGCTCGAGTTGCTTACAACCAGCACGTTTTCGCGGCCAAACACGCGTTGGCAGTCGTCCCAGGCCGCGGCGATGGACGGCTGGATCGTGTCCGAGTGCGGGGCGGTGAGGCAGTTGTCCTTGTCGAACACGACGAAGCGCACGCCGTTGGCATGCAGCGCGGACCAGTCGAGGTGGCCGATGTCGGGCACCTGCACGTGCGGCACCACCAGCGAGGGGCGCACGAGCACCGCGAGCACGGCCACGACGCCAGACAGGTTGCCCATGGCTCGAGTGTCCAGAATGCCGAGAAGGTGGTGGTGAATGGCAAGCAGGCTGCAAGACGAAGTGGAGCTCTCTGCATCTTTCGAGCTCCAACGCGCTGAAATTCGGAACTCGGCAACCCTGGCTCAAAGGCCAAACAGTAAAAAAAAGTCCCGATTTTTGCCCGGTTTTTATTTTGTGGAGAATTTTGCAGATTTCGAGGAGGAGAAAGTGGATCGACTCTCTTCCTCGACTGCCCACCACCACCACATCCATCTCGCATTCTCAAAATCTTCCAATCAGCCTGGACGATGTCATCCGAGGCGACTGCTGCCCAAGCGGGGCCATCGCGCTCCGCAACAAAGGAGAAGAAGCCCAAGCGCGTCCGAAAGAGGTCGCGCAACAAGAAGCGAACCACCGAGGCCGAAGAGAGCAGCAGCAGCAGCAGCGACGATAGCGATAGCGACGACGACGCACCCACTCCAGTGATCGCACCGAAGCCTGACACGAAGAAAGAGACCAAGAGCAAGTCCACACCAGCGAAGGCAGCGTCGGATTCCGAGGACAGCGACGATGACGATGCCGACGATGGCAAGCGCAAGCGAAAGCGCAAACGCACCTCCAAAAAGAAGTCTGTCCCTACGACTTCCGAGCCTGGTCCCACCACGACTACCACTTCCACTCCAGCAGCGGCGGCTTCTTCGGGCGGGCAGACATTCAGCCTCACCGCGGAGGAGGCTGGACCGGATCCGACATCGGACCTGCGTCTGAGCGAGCAGGCCAAGCAGGCGATCCAGTACGCGCAGATCTACACCGCCGACAAGCCGCACTGGAAGTTCAACAAGGCCAAGCAGAACTGGCTTCTGCGCAATGCGCTTTCGGTGCCTCCGTCGGACTACGACGCTGCGCTCGCTCGCAAGTCCGCCGCCGCCCAGGATGGCGAGGAGGCAGAACAGGACGACGGCGGAGAGAACTTTGTCCCCGAAGACTTTGTCGGCGTCGTCACGGCGTACCTCAGCAGTGTCGTCGGTGGCGCTCGGCAGAGACTTGTCGAGTCGCTGCGAGAGGCGGTCAATGCACCCGTCGTCGTAGTTCCGCAGCCCGAGGCCGAAGCTGCACCGCAGGCAGCAGAGCAAACCGAGCAAGCGGAGGGGAAGAAGTCCGTCTCGTTCGGCAACATCGCACTCGACTCGGAAAAGAAGGATGAAGCCGTCCAGGCGGCAGGATTGCCGGCGGGCACGGATCCGGAATCGGTCGAGCTGCGTAGGCAACGAGCCACTCTCATGCTTCAACGTCTCGGCGAGACCGTCTAGACACACTACCAGCCACAATGGAATGACACATATAATCGCATCGCAACGAGCATTACATCGGCGCGAGATGGCAGATGGCTACTGGATGATGTTTCAATCGACCAGCCTCTTGCAGATGTCGGTCGAACCAGGCGGGATATAGGGATCGATTTGACACACACTACACCGCGAATCAAGCAACATCAGCCACTGCCCAATCGTCGTGTGGAGCGTTTGAACTTACCCTGGGTAGGTGCTGAACTCGGGGTGGGCGGCATTGTAGCGCGAGTAGGGCACAAGGCAGCAGTGCGTCCAACCCTCGCCGTGCGGGCAACCAAAGGGCAACTGCAGTCCTCTGTCGGTGACTCTGAACGTGCAGCGCGGAGCCGACGCCACTGCGCACATGGCCCAGCTGGCCACCAGTACAGCTTGGAGAATTGAAAAGTTCATGGCTGTGATTCTTTGGGTGAAGGAGGTGTGTGGTGAGTTGGGGTGGAATAGGCGCCGAGAGACGGTGCTTTTATGCTTGATGGTCGCAAGACCCCGGTGGAGAAGGAAGGGGTTTCCGGTGCAATGACGATATGAAGTCGCGGATGCCGCGGCTCCGTCAAGGATACCGACGCTGGATCCCGCCACCTGGCAATGAGGTTGCCGATGCAGTGGGGGAAAGAGGATGTCACGGGACGGTATGAAAATGAAGAGCATCACAAAGGCTTTTCTACACGAGAGAAGATCCGCAGGACTGGTTCCGACGGTGCTCGGTGACCTCCGGAGTCGTGCAAGTCCGAGGACGGCGAGATCGATCCGACGTGGGAGTCGCTCCCACGATCCTCAGAGCTCATTCCGGATCACGACTGCCGAAAGCACGATTTGGCTACTCGGTACACCGAGGTCACTTTCAAAGAGCTCAATTGCGATCTTCGAAAGGGTGGGTGGCGCTGAGTGTCATGTGTCCTGATAATGACGCCTGGGAACGACATGATCAGCTTCCCTTCCCCACCTAAACGTAGCTTCAACTCGCTTTAGACGAGTTGTGGGGGGGAAAGGGGGGGGGGGGGGGGATGATTGGCACTTTACGGTGAGAAGACGCGTAGCGGTGGGGAGGGCATCTCCGTAGCGATGGTAGCAAGGTCGCGCACCTTGCGGAAGAAACCCAGATGCAAGTCGACATTACGCCTTCCCACATGATCGACCAGCTCGTCCTGTTCCTCGCTCATCCACGCAGTCAGCGCGATGAATGTGTCGAGGTGCTTGTTGCGCACGGGGAAGGGCTGTCGTTCGATCATATCCGGGTGGAAAGAGCTCAGCAGAGTCTTTCTCGTTTCTGCATGCAGGCGCTCCAGCCGCTGAAGAACCCTGCTCGCTACGACCCATCGAAAAGCTGTATATCAGCTTCCCTGCTCGACAATAGTGCTTGCGGATGCTTGCGACTTACCCGGTCTCTCGAGACCATTTTGAAGAAGCTCTCTGAAAGGATGGTGGATGTTGTCGGGATAGACAAAAAGCACCGTATGCTCCTTGGGCTTAGGATAAAGATCGAGGTGCAGAGGAAACGCCTCGCGATACTTGTGACGAAACGCCTCGAGATGTGGCTTGAAATGGCGCTCTTGTTGACGCGTCGCCTCGGCCGTCGGATCCTCGTATGCAGACCCGCTGCGAGAAAGCATCAGCAGCAGCAACACTGCAATGTGAAATATAAAGGCACACAGCGTCGTCTTCATGCTGGCTTAATTGGTCGTGTGGTTTCAGGGTTGCGGTATCCCATTCAGCGGCTGCTTTTATGGACGACGCAAGCAGGTTCCTGCCCAAGGAATGTCGAAATGAACACCGCAGCCGCACTGAAACTTCAAAGGTCGAAGCGACGTCGAGCGAAGCGCCCTCAATCAATCATGCCCGGTCGGATGCCGTGCAGCAATGAGGTTGAGTCAGACCACCTCGAGGCTTGCAAATGAAGCAATTAAGATTGCACAACCTGCACAGCGATGTGTTGGCAGAGACACAAGAAAACATAGGCCACGACACTGTAGAAGATAGAGGTGACTACGGCGGCTCTAGAGAAGATCTCTATGAGCGGCCTGGCGCCTCAAACCGCTTCTCTACACTTCAGCCATCATTGCCAACGTGGATGCGGATCCACTTGGAGCAAAAGTCGCCGAGGGCATGACCGGAACCTTTGGTGTCGATATCGATATCTTCACCGTTCACCAGGCCATCATTGATCCATAGCCTGTTGTTTCCGCCGAGAACCGTAATCCCGATCCTGGAGCAGGCTCTAGACGTATCCTGGGGCTCGTAGCTGAAGAGAGCGTTGTTATAACCCCTCCAGATGATCGAGAAGGTCTTGCTGGGATCGTCAATGGTAAAGTCTAGCACAAAAAGGCACGAGGATCAGTAGGTTGAACAGGCTATCCCTGATAGCGAGGAGATGGCTTACCGCGCATTCGGTCATCCCTGACCAGCAAGCTGGTGGTGGGCAAGTCACCAAATTCACCCTTGGTGATCTCGACATGGACGTCATTGAGGTCGCCGCCGACGAAGGTGAAGCAGACATGGTTAGGGTCGCTGCCCGCTCCACAGAGCTTCTCGTACTCTGCGTTGTTGACAGTCAGGGGAGTAGCGGGATAGTCGTCAGCAGAAGCCAGACCCGCACAAAGGCCGAGGGCCAGAAGAAGCTGCTTGAGGAACATTGTTGAGAATAGCAGGCGATGTGGTTGGGAGAGACTATCGAAGGGAGTCCCGAGTCGATCTTATATAAGGCATGATTCGCTTCAAGCACTGGCTGGAAAGCGGTGCACAGTGCTGACCAGCCCACGAGCTGCCCACTTGAATCACCGGCCGTGATTGCATGTGGGTGCAAGGAAAGTGAAGAGGGGAGCCGAGCCTTTGTGATCCATATTGTGGCCCACCGGTCCCGCTGTGGGCGTCCACCCCATTCACCCCCCGTCGGCTGATTCTGCGCCTGTCGGCCATGTGGGCTTGTCACAAGCAGACTGATGCTCACGACTTGCGCATGTCGTACGGAGCGCAAAGCTGGGCCGGTACCGCTCGAATTCCACAGATGAAGCTCAGATGAAGCAGCCCAGAGCCACGACGTACACGATATTCGCTTTCGTACATTGCGCCAGTCCACTTTTGCAATTCATGGGCATGCACCACCATTTGCCCGACCAGTCTCTTTGTTGAATGAGGATTCTGCTCGCTCCTCCAGCCCACGATCAAGTCTTGCTCGGTCCAAGTAAAAAATGCCTTGCCAAGACACTGGATGCCATCAACACGCAAAACACCTGTCGCTGTAAGTTCTCGCAGTCTGATCGTGGATAACGCAGATGCCAACGGTTGAAGCTTCACAATGCAATATCGCATGCAGTAACAGCGAAGGATTTGGCCATGAGACAAACGCTCTCTTTCTGATGACCCAGAGCACATGCGCGAGTGCTTCAAAGGATGCGTGATTGATGGTACAACTGTCATATCATTTTGGGAGGATGCATCTACGAGCTCGGGCTGGTGCAAATGATGATGCATAGTCATGAGTGACGAAAGTGGACTGGTGCAATCTACTTAAGCAAATGCAGAAGAGGGATTGACAAAGGCTACGATGCTGCGGCTACTTGTGAGAAGACCTCTTTGAGCGATTAGGCGACTCGAGCTGGTTCTGTCCGCCTTACTTGTCATTGCCGACGTGGATGCGGAGCCACTTGGAACAGAAGTCGTGGAAACCAACGCGGCCGTCCCTGGAGTCAAGATCGATACCTTCACCGTTCAAACCGTCGTTGACCCAGATCCTGCCGTTGCCGGGGGAGTTAATCTGGATCCTGTAGCACGCCTTGGATGTATCGATGGGGCTGTAGAGGAGAGAAACGTCGAAAGCCCTCCAGTAGATCGTGAAGCTCTTGTTGGGGTTCACGGTAGTGAAATCTGTCGCAGATCCACGCACAAGAGAGCAAAACAGTCAGCACACTGGATAGAGTGTGTCCAGGGAGGGGGGACACTTACCTCGCATCTGATCGTCCTTGAGCAGCAAGTCGGTGGTAGGGCCGGCGGCACCACCAGCGTAAATCTCGGCATGGACATCCTTGAGATCACCGCCGAGGAAGGTGAAGCAGGGAGTGACAGGGTCACTGTTGGCTCCACAGCGTTGCTCGTACTGGAAGTTGTTGACAGTCAGGGGGGTTTGAGCATTGTCGGCAGCGGCCAGACCCGCACACAGGCCGAGGCCAAGGAGAAGCTGCTTGAGGAACATTGTTGAGAATAAGCAGTGAGAAGGTGGGAGACGTGGTTGGGAGAGACGTTCTGCAGAGGGTCATGTGTCGTTCTTATACACGGCATCGAAAGGAGCATGGCTTCGAACGCTGGCTCGAAAGCGGTGCAAAGCGGGGTCCGACCCACGAGTTGCCATCTTGAACCCACTTGTCGTCATGCATGTAAGTAAAAGCGAAAAAAGGAACCGAGCGGTCGTGATTTATGTTGTGCCCCACCGGCCAGATGATACTGTGGGGTCCGCGATTCGATCAACCCACCTCTGTCGGCCCAACCCACCTCTGTTGGCCAGACGAGCTCGAGATATCCACCCTGATGCATACGACTTGCGCGCGTCACATCATTTCCACAAACCGCACGAGCCCCGCGCTTCCATCAGAATCGCTAGACTGGTGTGGTGACAAATAGACGTGCAGTAGATTCAGACGTCGTTTGGTATTACATTCGGCCGTGGTGCGCTGTTTAGTGTCCAAGGCTACTTTTGCTCGCTGAGCACCTTGCGGACTATCCTCTCGACCATGCCTTCGAGCGCCTGTGGCGAGGCCGGGCCGACTGCGGTGCCCACTGCGCTTCGTCCTGCATCTACGCTGTTTGACGACTCGTGTTCTTCGGCGTCTCTCTCGAGCGAGCCGAGCACGGCGCGGTGGACGTACTTTCCGACCATGTCGAGCTCGACATTCACCGTGTCGCCGGGCTTTTTCCTGCTGAGACCAATGACCTCCTGCGTGTGCGCGATGAGCATGACGGAAAACTCGACGATCTCCTTCTTGGGAGTCTGTGCATCCTCTCGCACCTCGCCGGCGGTCGAGTTGGACGGAAGCAGCCCGCCCGTGGCAGGCGAGACCTCGATGAGCGTAAGCGAGGCACCGTCGAGCGTGACGTAGCCCTTGGGGATGAGGTACGGCGAGAGACTTGAGGGCAACGGGAGAGACTCGGGCTTGTGCTGCAGACGAAGCGTGATGGTGAGTGCGTTGCCGTTGGGAACGACCGAGCGGATGAGGGCGGTGGTGTCGACGTGGCCCTGAACGAAGTGACCGCCAAAGCGCGTGTGGGCGTCCATGGCGCGCTCGCAGTTGACCCCATCGCCGACCTTGAGCTCGCCGAGATTGGTCTTCTTGAGCGTCTCTGGGGCGACACCGATCTTGAAGTAGCCGCCGTGGTTGGCTTCATCGGCGTCGAACTCGGTGACGGTGAGACAGGTGCCGTTGACCGCAATGCTGTCGCCGATATGGCAGTCCTTGAGGATAGCGGCCGTCTTGCCGATGGTCATCGAGTATCCACCGCCGCCCGATTTGGACGCATCTTGCGGCGAGATGTCGATGATGGGAGCCAGAAGCTCGACTGCCGATGTTAAACGCAAGGAGGAGCGTCAGTGGTTGGCCAGATGGTTCGAAGTGGAGCTCGTGTACCTACCAATTCCTGTGAACATGATGCACAGATGAAAGTCGTTGATGTCAAGATGTCGAAACTAGGAATGAGGGGCTTCTACTTGTAGGAAGAGCAAAGGGAAGCAGGAACGGCGCCTTATGTCAGGCACCGCGGCCTGTCACCGAAGCAGGAGGGTCCTTCTCGCTCCAAAGCCTCTGGAAGCCGGCTTTCAGAGCGGACCGGCTGCGAAACTGCGCCTTTAACTCCACATGCTTCGCTCGGCTTCCGGGCTGCAACGCGTGGCTGTCTCGTGCGATAAGAAGGTTGTACCCAGTTTTCGGCCAATTTCCGCGCCTCTCCAGCTTGGCTTGTGCACTTGGCGCGAAAAAGCACGTTATGCAGCTCGTGCTGTGGGTGCAGCGACGCTGTGACTCGGTGCAGCCCCGCTCTCACCCAGACAAACAGCACGTAGACACCTTCCGTCTCGACACCATCCATTGCGAATCGCAGACACTCTCACACGCACACACCAACAATGTCGGCAACCCAGGGTATCAACGTGGCCATCATCGGCGTCGGCCTCGTCGGCTCGTCGGTCATCCAGCAGCTCACCACCGTCGCTGGTCTCTCGTCCAAGCTCCACCTCGTCGCGCTGCAGAACAGCAAGAAGACGCTCCTCAGCACGCCCACCTCACCTCTCTCGCTCTCTGGCTCCGCGGACTGGAAGAGCCTCCTCACCAACAGCTCCACCTCGGCGCTTGCACTTCCTGACCTCGTCGTCGAGCTGCAGAAGATCACGCGCGAGTCCGGACGCCACACCGCCGTGGTCGACAACACCTCCGACGAGAAGGTGGCTGCCTTCTACCCCGAGTTCCTCGCCGCGGGCCTGAGCGTCGTGACGCCCAACAAGAAGGCCTTCTCCGGCCCCATCGAGCTGTACAACGATATCCTCAAGTACAAGTCCAACGACAAGGCCGGTTCCAAGGGCCCGCTCGTCTACCAGGAGTCGACTGTCGGTGCGGGTCTGCCCATCATCTCGACGCTCGTCGACCTCGTCAACACGGGCGACGAGATCACCAAGATCGAGGGCGTCTTCTCGGGCACGCTCTCGTACATCTTCAACGAGTTCTCCACGCCCAAGGGTGGCGACAAGAAGTTTTCGGACATTGTCAAGTTTGCCAAGGAGAACGGATACACGGAGCCGCACCCGAACGACGATCTCTCGGGTTCGGACGTCGCACGCAAGCTAGCCATCCTCTCGCGACTCGTGCCTGAGCTCAAGGACGCTCTTCCCAAAGGCTACCTCTCGGTGCCCACGCACTCGCTCACTCCGGCCCCGCTTGCGGATGTCGCCTCGGGCGAGGAGTACGTTCAGCGTCTGCCCGAGTTCGACGGTGACTACGATAGCCTCAACAAGGAGGCGTTCAACAACGGCTCGGTGCTGCGATACGTCGGCGTGATCGACGTCAAGAACAACGAGATCAAGGCATCGCTCGAAACCTACCCCGCGTCGCATCCGTTTGCATCGTCGCTGTCCGGCTCGGACAACATCATCGCCTTCCACACAAAGCGCTACTCTGCCCGCCCCCTGCTTGTCCAGGGCTCGGGCGCTGGTGCCGATGTCACCGCCATGGGCGTCGTCGCCGACCTCATCAAGATCGCCGAACGTCGTTCCTAAGCCTTTCACCATCACGCTACGATGCGCTAATAAAGTCGATTGCAAAAGCGTTAATCAAAGACGATCTTCTTGCCTCCCGGTTTGACCTGTGCCATGAGCTCCTTTTGCTTCTGTTTTGCGATCCAGGACGGATGCATTTCCTGACTGGGCGCTGGTTTGGCAGGTGCAGCTGCGATCGATGCGGGAGGAGGAGGCTGACTGCGCGGTACGAAGGGGCGTTTTGGCTGTTTGGGCAGAGGCGCAACCTGTCCTCCCCATCCACCGTCTCGCTTGGCAGGAGCCTGGAAGGCAGCTGGACGTTGGCGTCCCGAAGTTGCGCCAGCCGGACGATCGGGCCGCGCGAGCTTGGCCGCTTTGCGTTCTTCGCGCACCTTGATGTGGTTGGCGTTTTTGCCGTACTTCTTCTCGTACAGCGCCTTCCTCGCGCGTTGGCCCATCCTGTTCTTGCGTTCCTTCTTGCCGTTCTTGAGTTCTGACAGATCGCGGTCCGCGAGGTCCGCCTCGGCATCCGACCACTCGTCGTCGCTACGCCCTGCGATGAAGCCGGTGGCTAGGGACGGCAGGAAGGCCGAAGTGCCTGCCGATGAACGCTTGCTTCGCTTCGCGGACTTGTCGTTGCTTGTGGCTTTGCGCTTCTTCGAACGCGCGCCGCCAGAGGAATCCGATTCCGAATCCGAGTCCGAGTCCGAGTCGGAATCACTCGATCCGAAATCACTTGCTGAGCTGTCAGACGAGGCGTCTTCGTCCGAATCGTCACTGCTGTCGTCCGAGCTGCGGGGGGATCGCTTGCGAGCTTTGCGAGGCTTCGTGCCGTCGGAGCCCGATTCAGCGCCCGAATCACTGCCGATCATGTCGTCCCACTGCGAAAGGTCGCCGAGCGCTGCGAGCTTCTGCTTTCCAACGCGGACGAGCTCCTCTTCGTCCGCATCATCGTCTTCGATGTCCGAATCTTCTGCGTCCGCACGAATGGGCTCCTCGTCCGACTCCGACTCGCCATCCGATCCGGACCACTCGCGGCGTTCATCGTCCTCTTCTTCCGAGTCCACCTCGACCGCCTTGCCCTTGCCCTTGACATCCACCTCTGCAACGTTCTTCTTTGTTGCGTCGGGCTCGATGCCGGCGAGCTTCTTGAGTTCGTCCACAAACCTGCCCACCTCATCCGCCAGAACCTTGGAGGACGTGATCTTGGCCTTGGCGCGCTCGAGCGCCCTATCTCCATCCGCTTCCACCGGATCGCTCAGAACGACCTCGCCCAGAAGCGCTTCTGCTTTCACCAGCGGCAGGTAGAGGTAAGACGATTCGGTGGCTGCATCGAGCCCAGCAGTGCGGGGCAGGAGTTTGGCCTTGACCATCTTGGTGACGAGCGCACGCCCGGCGAGTAGGTTGATTTCGATCGACTTTAGTGCCTCGAGCTCAGCCTCTGCAAGTTTGGCCTGGTCGGCAAACGAAGGCTTCTTTTGCAGGCCCTTGAGCTTCTTGACGAGCTTCTGCACCTCGAACGTCTTGGTCTTCTTGGCCGTCGCGCGCACCGTCTTTGCTACGTGGTGCAGCTTAGTGCGCGCCTTTTCTGCGTCGATGTTGGGCTGCTTGATAGACTCTTCATCGACCGAATCTACCTCCTCATCGCTCTCGACATCTACGCCATCGTCACTTCCGGAGACGCTGCCAGAGGCCGAGTCTTGGTCATCGCCATGGTCGGCAACGGGCGAAGCGCTCCGACTAGAAGATGCCTCTGACGATGTCGATGCTTCTGAGACCAACTCTGGCGCTGGCTTCTGCTTTCCTTTAGCTTTGACACCCATGATGGAGAGATCGACGATGGATCAATTGTGAAGGAGAGAGTGTCGAGGCTGAGGAAGACCTGCGTCTGAGCTGGCGAAGAAGAAGCTGCGAGTGGAGAAAGCGCAACAAAAATCCAAATTTTCGCTCGGAAGCCGGAAATCCCCTCCCTGGTGCATCCGGATCTAACAAGGTTGAATCGGGGTCTTCGGGGACTTGCCCGGCGTCTAGGCATCGTGCACAGACTACCGAAGCGGGTATCTCGACCCCTCAACGGCAACACAACGGACACCGCTCAGCAACCACCTCGACTCTTACAAGATGATCGCTGGATCGTTCACAGCTTCCAGACTCTCTAGGGGGAGCCTTTCGGGCATCGGCCGCCTGGCGCTGCGTGTGCCGCGAGCAGCACGCTGCTACACCGCCGGCAGCCTCAAGATCAATGCGGACCGGATGATGAAGACGCTGCACGAGACGTGCGAATGGGGCGCAGCGCACCGATACGGCGACGGACCATTCGAGACGGGTATGGCGCGTCTGACGCTTGACAAGGACGACGCGACTGCTCGACGCTGGCTGTGGAAGGAGGCGGAGAAGCTAGGCTGTTCGGTGGACGTCGACGAGATGGGCAACATGTTTATGATCCGCAAAGGGAAGAAGAACGGCAGACCCACCGCGATGGGCAGCCATCTGGACACACAGCCGACGGGTGGAAGGTACGACGGCATCCTGGGCGTGATGGCCGGACTGGAAGCGCTGCGCACGATGAACGACCACAATCTAGAGACCGAGTACCCAGTGGCGCTGGTCAACTGGACCAACGAGGAGGGCGCACGCTTCCCACAGTCAATCGTCGGCTCGGGTGTGTGGTGCCACGATGTGCCGCTGGAGAAGGCATGGAATCTGCAGGACGTGAAGGATGCGTCGCTCACGATGAAGTCGGAGCTCGCCAAGATCGGCTTTCTCGGATCGACGCGGTGCAGCCACGAAGCCACGCCACTGGCGGCGCACTTTGAGCTTCATATCGAGCAGGGTCCGATCCTGGAAGCGACAGGCAAGAAGGTGGGCATTGTTCAGGGCGGACAGGCGTACAAGTGGTTTGACATCAACGTGCGCGGTCGCGAATGCCACACGGGATCCACACCGTTCGACACCCGCTCCGACGCCATGCTGTGCGCATCGCGCATCATTGTCGAGAGCAATCGCATCGCCAAGCAGCACAAAGGCCTTGCAAGCACGGTAAGTCTCGACTGTACAGACGCAGGTCTTGAGGTATCTCAGCTGACGCCTTGGCTGTGCTCCGCGTTTCGGCGGAATTGCAGGGCATCTTGCGCCTCTCGCCTGGAAGCGTCAACACATGCCCTGGCCATGTCTTTTTCACACTGGACGTTCGGCATCCTTCGACGGACAAGCTCGCGGCGCTGTGCGGTGAGATCGAAGCGGCGGCGCAGCGAATCGCGGCCGAGGAGAGCGAAAAGGGGTGCAGCCTCGAGTGGGTCGAGACGTTCGACAGCCCAGCGATCACGTTCCACCGCGACTGCATCGACAGCGTGCGCAAGGCAGTCGAGGCCAACTACGGCAGCGATGCAGGCGTTGACATCTACAGCGGCGCAGGCCACGATACATGCTCGACCAGCAAGGTGTGCCCATCCTCGATGGTCTTCATCACGAGCAAGGAGGGCATCTCGCACAATCCGCGGGAGTATTCGTCGCCGCAAGACTGGTGGGTACAGCTGCGCCGTGATCTGCATGAGAAACGGGTGGGCGTGAAAGCTGAAACTGACTTCATCTAACCTTGTGTGGCTGCGCAGTGCGACCGGTGCGCAGGTCCTCATGGATGCAGCACTGCTGTACGATTCGCAGCGCCAGCAATGAAGTGCGCGGGAAGGAAAATAAGCCCCGCTCATCAGCCACAGATCGCCGACACAATGGTACCAACAGATATGAACACCGGTGATGCTGATTGTGACAGGCAGTCACGGCAACGTCCGAGGCAATGGTGGGAAGTCGCGGCAAGGCGGCTCCAAGAACTGCTGCTGCTGCTACCCTGGCATGGTCGCGCGGGGTAACACTGTAAGTTGAAGTGACTTGGCGGCTGAATCCCGCTCGGCTGCAGCTGTGCATGTCTCAGCGTGGATTGGGCTAGGTGGAATTGGCACGCCACGAGAGCAGAGCTTAAATTTGCCGTGGGCGCGTGCAATTCGGCAGCTTTTGGCGCGCGTTGGAAGCGCAAGGAGGCCCGTGCTAGGTTAAACTCTCTCTGGCGCTGCAGATGCTTCTCTGCCTTCGGATGAGCTTGTGGATGGCGCATGCGGATCGTCTCGGACACCAATGAGGCGTAGAAGAGCAGAAGAGCAAGGTGGCTTGAACGGCGCTCGATTGGATGCACATCCGAGCGTCGGCCGGCGGGCGCTAACGCGAGCCGATGCTGTGTGAACACGGCAAGGAGGTGGGAGAAGCTTGCGCAGCGCACAAAGCCTCGCTTTGCTGCAGGGAGCGACAGGGAGCCCAAGGTGCGGATGTGCCTCGGGTTGCACTCGAAGCACCTCGACGCTCGGCCCTGAGCTACCCGTGGGCTGCTCGACAACCGATTGCCGAAGCTGTCGGTGCGCCCATGCATGCCTTGGTGTTGCGCAGCGCAAGAATATTGACTCGCCGCCACTCGCTGTTGAGCGCCCGCAGCTACGGCATTCCGCTAGCTCAAGCTCCGCCGCAGCCTCCAGTCCGCCAAGCTGTCCCGCACCCTATCCCCCCCACCACCCTCGCGTATAAAGCACACCCGCGCTCGTCGCCTGTGCCATCTTTGCCCGTCTTCCCAAACCCCACCCTGCTTAAGCCACTCGATTCCCCATCAATCATGGCAGCTCCCTACACCGACACGGGCGTCAAGCCCGACGACTTCTACGAGTTCGACTATGTCGTCGTTGGCGGCGGCACGGCGGGTCTGGCGGTGGCTGCGCGTCTGTCTGAGGACGCCGCGGTGTCGGTCGGTGTGATCGAAGCGGGGCTGTGGCGTCCCGAGTGCCCCAAGATCAACTACCCGGCGTTCATCGGTCAGACGCCCATGAACCCGGACTACGACTGGTGCTACGAGACCGAGCCGCAGCAGCACTCGAACGGACGCAAGTACCCGTGGCCGCGCGGCAAGGTGCTCGGCGGCAGCAGTGCGCTCAACTTTCTCGTGTGGCAGCGCGGCTACAAGGGCGAGTACGACGACATTGGCAAGCTCGGCAACTCGGGCTGGTCTTGGGACGACTTTGCCAACTTTGCGCGCAAGAGCGCCACGCTCGAAAAGCCGTCCGAGCAACTGCAAGAGGCACACCTCGCCACGTACGACGAAGAGGTTCACGGCTCCGACGGCCCGGTTCAGACCTCGTACAGCAAGTGGTACACCGAGGCGCAGCGTCCGTGGTTCGAGGCGCTCAAGAGTCTCGGCCTCGCCAACGTCAGGGACGGTCTGGCCGGCAGCAACGCCGGCTTCTGGGTCTCGCCGGGTACGCTGTGCCCCAAGAACGGCGTGCGCTCGTACTCGGCCAGCGCCTACTATGCTCCCAACGCCAAGCGCTCCAACCTCAAGGTCATCACGGGCGCCCTTGCCTCCAAGATCCTCTTTGGCGAGGCCAAGAACGCTGCAGGCGAGCTCGTCGCCTCGGGTGTCGAGTATTCGGTCGACGGCGCTAGCTACACCGTCAAGGCGCGCAGGGAGGTGGTGGTGAGCGGCGGCACGATCAACAGCCCGCACCTGCTCGAGCTCTCGGGCATCGGCAAGGCGGGCGTGCTCAAGGCAGCAGGCATCGAGCAGCGCATCGAGCTCGACGTGGGCGAAAACGTCCAGGACCATCTCTACACCACCACCACCTTCAAGCTCAAGCCGGGCCACACCACCTGGGACAAGATGCGCCAGGACGACTTTGCCAAGGCGGCCATGGAGCAGTACGCCGCCGGCGGCGACGATCGCGGCATCGTTGCGTCGATCATCTCGGGCTTCGCCTACGTCCCGCTGAAGCAGTACCTCTCTGCGGACGAGATTGCCAAGATCAAGGACGAGGTGGCCAAGATCGACTGGAGCCAGTACTCGAACGGCGTGCGCGAGACGGTTCAGCTGCAGCTTGCGCGTCTGGACGACGAGCAGTGTCCCTTCACCGAGTTCATCTTTACACCGGGCTACTTTGCCACCTTCTCGGCGCCAGAGGAGGGTCAGGAGTACTACAGCATCCTGGCGTGTCTGCAGCAGCCCTTTTCGCGCGGCACCATCCATGCTGCCTCGTCCGACCCCGCTCAACCGCCCAAGATCAACGCCAACTACTTTAGCGTCGACGCGGATCTCGAGATCCTGTCCAAGGCGGTCAAGTACTGCGACACCATCACCACCACTTCTCCACTCAAGGACATTACCGTGGCAAGGCAGGATCCCGATCCGGAGAAGTGCACCACGGACGACGACTTCCGCGAGTTTACAAAGGACGTCACCAGCACCGAGTACCATCCGATCGGAAGCTGCTCCATGATGCCGCGCGACAAGGGCGGCGTGGTGGATGCAAGGCTCAAGGTGTACGGTACCGCCAACGTGCGTGTGGCCGATGCCTCCATCATCCCCATCCACGTCTCTTCGCACATCCAGTCGGCCGTCTACGCCGTCGGCGAAAAGGCAGCCCACATGATCCGCGAGGATGCCAAAAAGGCCCACTAGAACGTTGCTCTCTCGAATTCTGCCAAGTCTGAATGCATGCAAGTTCTTTGTCGTCATTGTCTGTGCCTGAGTCGCGCAACGCAGAGCGAGTCGGCGATACTCGGGCATGGCTCTTGAGTGCAGTACCGCCGGCAAGCAGCATGGGCGAACGGACTCGGACCCGAACAATGATGTCTGCGTGCGTCGTTGGCGAAAGGGGAAACCGCCGCACCGGCCAAAAAACCAGCGTCACCACACAAGTCGGCAATCCACATCCAAAAAAAAGAGCTGCGTGGTGCGTGCGCAGAAGCTGTTGGAATTCGGCGGTGGGGCTGTTTGAGGAGAACGGCTGCAATTTCGCCTCGAAAGTGGAGGTTCAAGGCCGCCGCCGCTGCTTAACGCCGCATGAGATCACAGATGGTCCGCAAGGTCGGCGTTGCAGCTTTCGACGCAGCAGCTGCACAGCAGCCGTGTTTGTAAGCCCCAGCCGGGGCTTTTTCTTCGGGCGATCCGGCCTCTCGTGGGGATCGGACGCGCCCGTCCGATCGCGCATATATACAAACGCACCTCGTAGACGGCTTGTCTCCCGCTCCGCACCACACTGTATTGAGTAAAGATCATAGTTCTGTAAGTGACCACCCGGCAACGCGCAATCCCTACAAGCGCAACCGTTGTTGGCGTCGCTGCTCCGCCGTGCTTGCAATACTATGCAGTCCGCGCTGCATCGGCATCAACAATGGCCATTTCCGCGGCAGGCGGCAAGTTAGACAGAACATCAAACGCTGACCACTTCTCTGCTTCCCCTCAACCTTCTCAGACTCAAACCATACACACAGCAATGACGACCCACAACACCAACGAGGCCTGCTGCTCCATCCCTCCTGTCCAGTCGGACTAGTGAGTTGACATCTAACCTTACCATTTCCACCTACGAAATGCTGACCTCTTGCAAACTTTGACTCCCGCAGCTCTCCCAAGGGTGAGACTCTGAAGCTGGGCGGTCTGGACACGTACGTTGCCGGCCCCAAGGATGCCAGCAAGGCGATCGTTGTCGTCTACGACATCTTCGGTCTCTGGCCCACCACCAAGCAGGGCGTTGACGTCCTCGCCGAAGCCACCAAGGCCCGCGTAGTCCTGCCCGACTTCTTCCGCGGCAAGCCCTTCCCGCAGGAGTACTACCCGCCCAACACGGACGAGAAGAAGCAGGCCCTTCAGGACTTCTTCGGCGCCGCTGGCGACTTCCAAGCGCGCAAGCCCGACCTGGACGCTGTCGTTGCCGACCTGCAGAAGGACGGTGCCTCGAAGCTCGGTCTGATGGGCTTCTGCTGGGGCGGCAAGTTTTCCGTGCTCAACGGCGGTGCCGGCACCAAGTTCAGCTCGGTCGCCCAGGTGCACCCTGCCATGGTGGACGCCAAGGATGCGCAGGGCCTCACCGTGCCCGTGGCCAACTTCCCTTCGAAGGATGAGGATATCAAGGCCGTCGAGGCGTTCGAACAGGAGGTCCAGAAGAAGGACTTTGCCAGCAAGTGCGTCTACAAGCTCTATCCCGACTCGCACCACGGCTGGGCCGCTGCTAGGGCCGATCTCAAGGACGAGGGCAACAAGAAGAACTTCCAGGACGTCTACCAGCGTCTCGCCGACTTTTTCAACAAGACCCTCGCCTAACCGCCTCCGCGGATAGGATGCAATGCAAACGTGTTTGCCATTTTGATTGAGTGTGCAGGGCAAGCCATGCCGTCATGTGGGCGGTGAGTGCAGTGGTGATGGCGGCAAGTAATGAAATGAGATGAGGTGGCGGGTTCGGGCCGGCTAGTGTGGGTGTGGGGTGGGGTTGGTTGGTGGCTTGCAAGGTGGGCGGTATGACACGCACCTCCGGCGGACTAGTGTAGCAGACCTGCTTCACCCGCGAGATGGAATGAGCACACGCTGAGGCCTCGTCCGGTATGAAGGATGTTGGCGGTAGCTCTTTAGACCACTCTTAGCAGCCAACGTCGTTACAGACACACACCTGGTCTACTGGTAGGCAAAGGTCCACTCACATTCTCTCCCAGCTGCCCCGGCACACTTTCTTCACATTCGTTCAGTTACATTCTTTCGCCCATCACCTTGAAGTCAGCCGTGCAACACCATGCCACTGCAAGATGCCAACCGACCGAGCTACAGGGAGGTCCTGGCAGAGCAACGCAAGCAACACGGTGCCTACGATCCGGCTCGCCTTTTCCAAACCTTGCCTCGGCACGCCGCGCGTCGCTCGCATGTAGGCCGTGCAATCAGCTCGTCATCAAAGCGCGCAGGAGGGATGCGGTTGGTCAAGCGCGAAGACACGTCGCTTGTCGAGCAAGACGTTCTCAACGCCGTGGTGGATGCTGCCAGACCGTCCGAGGATGTGGAGCTGCCACCAGCGCCTGTCGTCCCGGGTGCGGCGCCCGATCCCGTCCTCCCTTCGGCTCCCGACCATTCTGGCGCCGAGTCGGATCCCAGCCTGCCGCCTGCACCCGACCACTCCGGAGCCCCGCCCCCGGTCAACTCGCTTCCGCCTCCTCCTGCTCACTCGAGAGCCAACGTGGCCGCCGCGCCTCATCCCTCTACCGTTTCAGTAGGTCAGGGATCTAAGTCTGCACTGCCTCCCCCGGCCAACGTCAGCTCGAATGGGACGACGCCTGTTGACGCGCAGTCGAGCTCTGGTGCTGGCGCTGCTGACCCGAGCGCAGGTGGGGATAGGTCGCACCACACCATGGTGGCGGTGGTGAGCAGCGTTGTTGTAATCGCTTCAGTGCTCGTCGGGGTGCTTTGGATGTTGCGACGCTACCGACGCAGACGCACGAGCGAAACGGAAAAAAAGAACTCGTGCCAGCTTACGAGCAACTCGCAGCGTCTGCACTCGTTGGACGGCCGTCCTAATTCGCACGCCTACTCCCCAGCCGTCCAAAAGCCTGTCCCCTATGCGGCACACGCGGACTCGAACGAGACCCTGGTCAACATCACACCACCCGCGGCGGCTTTGACATACGAAAAGCCCATGTCGCACGCGATTGCACCCGCTTCGAACCGAGGAGTTCCCGCTGCTGGTCAGCGAGGTGTGGAGTCGGGACGCGTGGCGATGCCGACGATCGTAGCCCCCCGTCCGCTGGATTCGATCGCCGAGGTGCACGAGATCCACACGGGCACTTCGACGCACTTTGAGATGTGCACGCGTGGCGGTGATGGCCTGCTCTCCCCCGGCACTCGTGGGCGTCAACTCTCCCCGACTCGATCGCGAGACGATACGGTGCGGCCGCTTACTGCGCCCAGCACCACTGGGTTTGGCAAATTCGCTACCACCGGGTCTGGCTCACTCGACCGCGACACGGATAGGTCCCGCAACACTGCAGGGGGAGGGCTTTTGGCACTGTCGCGTCCCCACAGCTCCAAGGGACGACCGACGAGCTCCAAGGGTCGCGAGATCGAGATGACGCGCAAAGGCTCGCAGCTCGTCATCCGTGACCGACCGAGCACGGCCACACTTCGCCCCATGTCGAAAGCAGGCACCACCTTCCGCACCGCTCTCCGCCGCAACGCTGCAGAAGATGATGCGGATGGAGCGATCTATATCGAGACCGACGGCATCGTGGGACCCACGAGTCGCGATTCAGTATACCTCGAAGCAACCCCCGCTCGCCGGGGTGAACTAAGCGTTCCTGTCTCGGCAGTGTCAGGTCGAGAGGGGAGTTGCGTTCTCGCTTTAGCAACAGCACGATGCATACGGCACGACGTACGAGCTGCGCCACCACCGTTTCGCCTACGGGCAGCTTCAGCTTTGAGATCAAGGACGCCGTACGCCAGTCTGTACCACTCACCATCCAGCCTGGCGCCCAACCCAGCCCCACTGCTACTGTGCGGGGCGCAGAAGCACACGACCACGCAGATGAAGATCGCGGTCCGGAGACGGGAGGCAGCTTGGGAGAGGGCTTCGTGCAGGAGCTCGACTGGAACGTGCATTCGGCGAGCTTGGCAGTCGACGGCTATCCGCCCTTTGGCGCCATGCATTCCACCACGCCCTGACGCCTGCTGTCAAGTACCGCCGACATGGAACGCCCGACCCCGGCTGTCTTGATCGACGTCGAACTCCAACAGGCAGTGCGAAGCAATGTGACAGCTGTTTGCTCCCCTCCAGCCATGAGGCCAAGGTGTCCGCCCGCTTGCACTGTTGCGTGGACCCGGCGAGTCGAGGGCACGTGTGTGGGGTTCCGTGCGGCCGAGAAAAGGCTCGGGGGTGGGGTTTCACACGAGAATTTGCCAAGGCGGTAACCGCGAATTTGGGCGCATTTTTGGGCGCAGCTGTGAAATCGCTGAGGCGAAGCGGACGAGTGGAGGAAGACGCGTACCCCGCAAAATCGGCGGGAAAGGGAGAGAGAGAGAGAGAAGGGTAGCCATGATCGACTTCCGCTTCCGGATGCAAATCCATTTCATTCCAGCGGGATTGTTTGTCGGTCCGCAACATTTTTTCCGAGCGGCAGAAGGGCATCGGCTTCGGCACCGGGTCACCACAGACAAGCTAGGCAATGCTCACAGCGATGGCAACCTGAGCGGATCCAAGAGGCGGAGGCGGACGGCGACGGTGGTAACCAATATTGAGCGTGCCTTGTGAGTTTGTCTGAGCCGGAGCTGCGCGCTCATTTTCGCCTTTGCCGAGAATTTCGATTGCGCTTAGCCATCCGTCATTCCGCCCCGAGCCAGCGGTGACCTCTTTGGCGGGCACAGGCCTCGCCACACGCAGAGAGGTTCACGCTCGGCGCAGCCGAGTTGGCCATTCTCACATGCTCACGGCCTCGCATCCTTCGCGCCAACTCCGCTCAGCCAGACGTTGGTAGCCGCAACCACACATGCATGCACCGCTCGCTTGCCCTCTGACAACTTACAGCTGCGCCGCACCCTGCCTCGACTGACGCTGCCCATCCAACGTCGTCGTCACATATATCTGCGATCGTCGCTCCTGCCTTTCATCCCTCCTTCCATCCCCACACGCTTCGTCTCCCCTTTCCGTCCAATCTTGCTCTACTGCAAGCACCTCCACCATGGGCTCGATCAACTACGACTCTTCCGACGTGCTCGATTTCCTCATCGTCGGTGCCGGTATCTCGGGCATCAACGCCGCCTACCGCATCAAGGATGAGCTGCCAGACAAGAAGTATGCCATCCTCGAGGGCAGAGAGAACCTAGGCGGCACCTGGGACCTCTTCAAGTACCCCGGCATCCGCTCCGACTCGGACCTCCACACCTTCGGCTACGCCTTCAAGGAGTGGACGGGTGCCGACATCGCCGAGGGCAAGGAGATCGTCGCCTACCTCAACAGGGTCGCCGACGAGAACGGCATCACCCAAAACATCCACTTCAAGACCACCGTCACCAACGCTGACTGGTCCACCGAGCAGCGATGCTGGTTCGTCACCGCCGACCAGAACGGCGAGCAGAAGCAGTTCCGCTCGCGCTTCCTCTACACCTGCACCGGCTACTACGACTACCACGCCGCCCTCGAGGCCGACATCCCCGGCATCAAGAATTTCAAGGGCAAGGTCGTACACCCGCAGTTCTGGAACGTCACCGAGGACGACTACCGCGGCAAGCGCGTCGCCGTCATCGGCTCGGGCGCCACCGCCATCACCCTCATCCCTTCCATGGCCGACGTCGCCAAGGACGTCACGCTCGTCCAGCGCTCGCCCACCTACATTGTCTCGCTCGACAAGTACGACCCCATTGCCAAGGTCATGCGTGCCGTCATGCCGCGCAGGATGGCCGCCTTCCTCATCCGTCAGAAGAACATTTTGCGCATCTACGCCTCCTACCACATCTTCCGCACCTTCCCCGGCGTCGCCAAGCGCATCCTCCGCACCATGGCCAAGGCACAGCTGCCCAAGGACATCCCGCTCGACCCTCACTTTAAGCCGAGCTACAACCCGTGGGACCAGCGTCTGTGCATCTGCCCGGACGGCGACTTTTACACGACGCTCCGCGAGGGCAAGGCGCACATTGCCACTGGCCACATTGACCAGGTCACCAGCAACGAGATCATCCTCAAGAACGGCGAGCGCATCCCTTGCGACCTCATCGTCACCGCCACCGGTCTCAAGCTCCACATTGGCGGTCACATCCAGACCTCGGTGGACAAGAAGCCCGTCAAGGCCAACGAGCTGTTTGTCTGGAAGGGCTGCATGATGGAGAGCCTGCCCAACTACGCCATCTCGATCGGCTACACCAATGCATCCTGGACGCTCGGCTCGGACTGCACCGCACAGTACGTCGTCCGACTCGTCAAGCACATGGACAAGTACCACAAGTCCATGGCCGTCCCCAAGCCCTCGAACCGCGAACAGCTTGAGGAAGGCCCCCTGCTCAACCTCACCTCGACGTACGTCAAGAAGGCCGAGAACGAGCTCCCCAAGGCCGCCACCACGGGACCTTGGAGGATGAGGACCAACTACTGGTACGACCTCGTCCAGGCAAAGTACGGCGGCTACGACGACATTGTCTTCCAGTAATCGGCGAGCATGCTTGAATTTAGTGGCTGCTTTTTAGATCCGGTGTTCAAATTGTAAATCTACACGAGTGTTATGGATGTCGCTCTTGTCTGCAGTCGTGGGTGTGGTTGTGCGCGGTGAGGTGGGCAAGCTCGAGATCTGTCGATTGCATCGCTTTTGCCTCAGTTGGGGTCCCACGGCTCATGAGCCCAAGTTCGCACTCCCTACACAAGAAGTCAACGAAAAGTTAAGCGGAGTAGCAACGAGGATGGACAGAAAGACGAGCCTTGGGATGCCCAAGCTGGGATCCTTGGACGACCGCTTTCCGATGGGTGGCATCACTTTGCCTCAATTGGGAGCCCACAAATTTTGACTTCGCTTTCATATCGTTTCTTGCAGTCGTGGGTGTGGTGATGCGCGGTGAGGTGGGCCCGCTCGTTAAATCTTGATGGCGCCCATTTGGTCGGAGCCCGAGTCCCACGGGTCACAAGCCCAAGTTCGAACACCCTCCTCGGAATGCCTAAGCTGAAGTTGCTGTACGACCGCTTTCCGATGGGTGGCATCACTTTGCCTCAATTGGGAGCCCACAAATTTTGACATCGCTTTCATATCGTTTCTACCCCTTTGCCGCTGAAAGTCGAGCCTTCCATTGGGACCAGAGTCAGTGAGAGAGGAGGTAGGGGGCGACGTGTGGGCTTGTGCAGCAAGACTGCAGCTCGCCGGAGGCCTTGAAGCCGATGTCTGACGTCGGTTCTTCTAGCCTAGCAGAGTCGATCGCGCCGCCATCCTAGTGTGTTGCTCACCAAGGTCTTCTTGGTCGTCCCGGTGTCCCGTCGTGATTGTATCGTCGCGGTGTGAGACCCTCCAACAAGCGCCACGTCGAAGAATGGGGTGCTAATGGCGTCGAGGATGCACGAATACTGTTTCTGTTCGACCAAGTCATCTGCCGCGAGCTCGCTCCAGTCGAGCCATGCGGTGTCGCATAGTTGCGCTCAGGACAGTCCAGCGTTTGACTTGGGTTCAAGCTCAGGTACGAGCCCAACTTCGCGCTCGCCACACAGAAAGCCGACCAAAAGCAGAGATAGCTAGGTAGCAACGAAGGTGGATTGAGCACCGAGTGTCGCTTTTGAAAGCCCCGGGCTGAAGTTGCTATACGACTTGTACGCTGCTCTGGCATCGCTTTTGCCTGAGCTCGAGTCGCACAAGCCTTGTCCACGTGGGCATCGGGCAGCCATCCCCGACACATTGGCTTGTCGTTTCAAGTTTAGCGGGTGTGCTTTCAGGTCGTGTCGGATGCAAGCGTCGAGGAATGACCTCTGTTGCGGAGGCTTCAGGTGTGCTCACATCAGATCTGGAAACGACGCCCACTCGACAGCGCTTCAATCCTGCATGGCCTGGACGATTTTGATGACGTGTGGCAAACATGGGTACAAAAAAGAGAGCACAAAAAAGAGGCACTACGGCGCAAGATCATTTGCGGCTCCAGACGAGCTTTCCAGCGACCCAGGTTTGCTTGACCTGGCCGGTGCGCTTGTCTAGGACGACCAGATCCGCATCGCATCCTGGCCTGAGGAATCCCTTTCGGTCTGCGATGCCCAGCATCATTGCCGGCGTACTCGACGCGCAGTACGCCGCGGTGTGCAGGGGTACCGCCGCATACCTCGCCAGATTCGTCACGCAGTCCGACAGCGGTACCACACTTCCTGCAAGAGTATCGGTACCCTGGAGTGTGACCTTGTTGCCCTGTTTCTCGACCTCCTGACCGTCTCGCCAGGGGTAGACACCATCAGGCTTGTTCGGGTCCATCCAGGGCATAGCATCCGACACCAATACACATCCAGCAGGGTGGGCCGAATAGGCCATACGCACCGAGCACGGGTGCGAGTGAAAGCCGTCCGCAATCAGCCCATAGAACGGTCGAGGTTTGCGCGCGGGCGCGCGCGCAGGATCGCCTTTCCGCGGCGTACCGTGCGAGGTGGGCAGTGTAGCCTCGAGGTCCGTCTCGCTGTCGCCGAGCAGACCGATCACACCCGGGTCGCGGTGGTTGAAGCTTCCCATGGCGTTGAAGAGGTGCGTGATGAACCGCGCCCCTGCCTCCTTGGCTGCCAAAGCCGTATCGATGTCGCTCGCAGTGTGGCCGATCGAGACAGTCACCCCGCGCGAAGTGAGTGCAGGGATCGAAGCAAGAATCCCTTCGACCTCCGGTGCGAGCGTGAGCAGCTTCACCGCACCATCCATATCCAACCCACTCGGTCCACTGCCGTACACTTCTTCGAGCGACGACACCCCGGACTCGGCGGTGCGGATGAGCGACGAACAATGCGCACCCTTCTTGTGCGGCGAAAGGAACGGGCCCTCGCAGTGCCATCCCAGCGAGCTGGCCTGCCCCTCCCGAGCACGTGGCGCCAACAGCGGCAGAATCTACAAAGCCAAACCCTCTTGGTCAGCATTGCTTCCATGTGCAGTGCGTGCTAGCGGGTGCGGGTACATACCTTTCTATACGCATCGGATTTCTGCGTGATGATCGTCGGCACAAAGCTCGTCACGCCCGTCTCGAGGATGCGCGTGGCAAACAGATCGAGTCCCGCCAAATACTTCTTGTCCGCCTGGGCCGGGCTTGCTTCATCGAGCTCCGAAAAGTCGACGCCGTATCCGCCGTTGATCTGCACATCGATAAAGCCGGGCACGAGGTAGTCGCCCTCCAGGTCGATCGTGTGTGCAAATGCGGCGTGCGCGTCAAAGAACGCCGACTGGCCATCGATGATCTTGCCCACTGCAGGGTCGACGTGCAGCGAGTAGGTTGTCATGTCGGCCGGCAGCGTGCCGTCCGGCAGCAGCGCCTGGCAGTTGGTGAAGCGCAGCAGCCCATCGCTGCGCCCATTCGAGGTGCTCGCTGTTGATGTTGGCATGGTCGTCCTTGCAATCGATGATGGTGGTTGCGCGACCAGGCTGGGGGCCTGGCGATTGTTTTATTCAACCAAGCTGCTCGTACCTCCCTCGAGCTGGACAAAGGCCCGGAAAAAGGGCCGAAGCGGCACAGTCTTTCGCATTCGACGCTCGAGCAGACAAAGTGTGGAGGCGACTCCCCGGTCTCGCCAGGACTCTTGGTGGGTAAGCTGCGTACAGCCGAGAGAACGTGGCGGGGAGCGAGCTTACCGGCGAGAGTGAGGGGGAGGGTGGCGGGGGGTGTCGGTGTGCTTCGCCGAGGCTCGTCGGTCGGGCTCGGACCGATGGCGCCGCGACCGCCACCTCGCGCCGAAGAAAAAAAAAAGTGCCAACGCGCGCCCGGCAGAGTTGGACACATGCGCTGCCAGCCGGCGTCCATCGTGCTGCGATTGCACGCTTGGTCGCGTTTCCCGCTGCGCTGGCCCGCACACGGCTTCGATAGCGCGCTCTTGAAGCGTTGAGCAGCAAAGTACGCGCACCAGGCTGGGCGTCAAGGCAAGACATTGCGTACGGTCGGGAAGGCTGATGAGACGAATATCCGGCCCTGCCACGGAATGTGACTTTGGCCGAAACGTGCTGCTTTTGCTTGCGGCCACGCGAACACCTCCGAAGATAAGCCCGTCACCTATACTGACTTTGTTCACTACGGCTTTCGAATCGTGTACGCTGCCTCTTCACCACCGCCACCACTACCACCCTGCTCGTTCTGTCACGATGCTGGTTTCGGCGACATACTCATCCACACGAGCGGCGACCGCTCCGACGCAGCTGATCCTTCGCGGCACCCGTGACGGTGATCTCGCCGCAACGCTCTCAGCCCAGCGAGCATCTTCTTCTTCTCACTGTGCCAAAGCTGAGCGGCTACCGCTATTCACATGGTCCGATCTGGTCGCCATCGTCAGCACGGGCAACCTGCAGCGTCTGTCGCGCCACCCCGAAGACCTGCGCGAGTACTTCGCCTGGATGGACTCGGTCAAGCTCTCCTACGGCTCCGTCCAGTCATTCATCCTTGCCGAACGCCTTACAGCCTCCCACCTCGTCAGCCTCCCGACTTCGGAGAGTGATGCAGCGGTGTGCTTTACGAGCTCGTTCGAGCCAGGTCGCGAGTGCCAGATCCTGGTCAATGACTGGCCCTACTCGGTGCCCACAGACGTCGTCCATAACGTGGTGTGGTCGTATCGCCCGATCTTGCACCGCAGTCTGGTAGCGGGAAAGGAAAAGGCGGTGGAAGAAGCAGCCTGGGCAGTGGTTGCAAAGCGCGGTCTGTGCGGATCGCTGTCGAAACACGGCCTGGTCGTACCGTCGTTACAAGACCATGCGCAGCATGTACCGGATTTGCGCAGCCTCGTAGCCAAGTGCGGAGAGCAAGACAGCGCGGAGGCAAATGTGCATGGCGTCCTGAGGAAAGCATGCAGAGAGATCGTCGCATTCATAGAAAAGCACTGGGACTTGGACAGATGCGAGGTGGTCTTCTTCGCCAACCCGCCCAGCTTACAGTCGGTTCCCTCGCTTGCGCATTTCCACGTCCTTGTTCGTCCCCTATAGCTGGCTCTTAGATAGTTCTCGGTCTTTGTATTTCCTGTATCATATGGCTCAATCGCACTCGTACCTCCTCGACTTGATGTGCACCACCGATCTGCGGTAGTCTGGTGAGGGAGGCATTGTGCATACTGGCATTGGCTTGGAAGTGGCGCGGCGCGATGCTTCATGTTGTGCATGCAGGTGGAATGTGGGAGCTATGCATCGATGCTTCGGGTGGGGTCATGGCATGCTTCATTTGGTTAGCCCGTGTGGGCGATGCAAGGAAGACTTGGAAACCCGCAGATGTGCACTCGTTCTTCCATCATCGGCCACTACTTAGTAATCGCAAACAACGACGACAAGCAAGGGCCGAGACGATGATGGCCATGACGCTGGCCATTCGACTATCCGTGGCCACTTTAGCACTGCCCACATGTGCCGCGGCATCCGGGTCATCACCGCCAGGTTTCGCAGCGTCCCAGCTTCGGCCCGGCACGAGCTTGGACTTCGACCAGGTCTTACACGGCCTCTACACACCCAGCCGCGCCGACGCCACTTCTCACAACGCTGCGTTAGCCGGCTTTGGTTACAAGTACTTTATGTCTGGCGCACCGATCTTTGTCTTTCCCCACCGAGGCTCTAGGATTGCCAAGTCGTCGCTGGACGAGGCACTGTCGACGTTTGGCAAATTCCACATCTACAGCCCTGCCACCCGACAGGGCACTTCGATCAAGCCGGACCCCAGCAACGAAGGGCCAGCGTTGCGGACGGACGAGTTTGGCGATGTGGGCGAATACATGCAGCGAGTGGACGCGACGCGCGCGCGATTTGGACCACACGCTACGATGCTAGCCCACGGTGCTCCAACCAGCCAGATCACCAAGAAGTATCCATGGTCCAGAGCGGGGACCAAGACACCGGAGTGGGATGAGGTGTGGCAATCAGAAGCGGTTCCACATGAGGCCAGGTTGAGTAAGCCAGAAGTGTTCAGAGCGTACCTCAGAGCCACGTTGGAAACGAACAGGCATGTGCGGTTCGAGACCAAGCGCGGAAGTATGGGTCTGCGCGCCTTACCCAGCGGCCAAATCGAAAAGGCGTTCCGGGATCTTGCAGGCGAAACAACCTACTTCCACCCCTAGCTTAAAGTCAAGCCTTCTTTCGATGTCACTTTACAAACGCACACAGGCTGTTCCGAACAGTGTCCATTTAGATTTGACATTGTCTGCGCGGGATCAGTCAGTCTCGCACTGGATGTCGAGGAACCTTTGAGCGAGATAAGCCGCAGCCTCGTGTGCGGGGCTCTTGACGACGTGGATGTTCTTAAACGGCGTCCTCCCCTGTTGCTTCCACATGTCGACGAGCAGATCCAAAAACGACCTGTTGGACCACAACCCGCCACCCAGCACGAGCGTCGACTTGTGCGGCACGATCCTGTCTGCTGGGCAGCAGAGCTTTGCGATCGAGTCGATGCACTCGCCCACGGCCTGGTGGAGTAGCTGCGTCGCCAGCTCGCTCCCCGATCGGCCGCGATGGTCAAAGGCGTACTCGAACACGACACGTGTGGTTTCGGCGAGCCAGCGCTTGCGTGCGTCTTCGGCATGGAAAAAGTTGCCGCCCGAAGCACACACGCGGTCCTGGTATGCTGCCGAAATCAGCTCGATGGGCGTCGACACGTCGAGTGCACATAGCACTGCCGCCTCGAAATGCGTGAGTGGCAGCGCGGTGAATTGGCGTTGCTCTTCGCGCGTAAGCATGAGCTGAATCGTCGACAACCCTATCGACCACCCACTGCCGCGGTCGCCGAGCAAGTATCCCCATCCGCCCGTCTTGCTCACCGTCGCCAGACCGGGCAGATCCTCGTTCTCGCTTGAACTGGGCGCGCGGGGCGATTCGAGCCCCGAGGTGGGTTCGGATGACGATGAGGTGCGCTGGAACGCAAAACCCGCACTGCCTGTACCGGCAATGAGGCACACGCACGACTGTGTGGACGCATCACGCAGCATGGGCGCCGAAAGCAACACGGCATCGTTGGTGATCCAGATGGGCGTCGAGTCGTCCGCAAGGTGATACTCCTGCAAGAGCTGTGAGAGCTGCTGACGATAACTGCCGATCACCGCCGAGGAGGAGAGCCCGGCCGAGCCGATCCAGATGGCGCGCACACGTGGACGTCGCACGTTGGACGACGTCTGGCGCGTCGAATGCAGCTCGCCATCACCGTCGGCGGAAGAGGCGTCGTTGTCCGAGAGCGAGAGCGGCGGCGTGGTGATGCCTTCCGCCTCGCCGGCCTCGATGAGGTCGAAGAACGTGCCGAAGCCGGCGGATATCAATGCGTCGCGAACGGCGCGCAGGATGACTTGGCTGGCGGCCTCAAGCCCCAGCGTAGCACAGTTGCCGCAGCCGGCCTGGCCGACAAAGGTCTGCTTGGAGCCTACAGATGCGGCGACAGCAAGCGTCTTGGTGCCACCGGCATCGACGCAGAGCACGACGTCGCCAGAGCGCGGAGGCAGCACGGATGATGATGGCCCTGCTTCCATGGCGGCGGATATGGAGTCACGGCAAGGCGCGTCGATGGTGGAAGGATGCACGGACGGGGACGAAGTCGTTGGTGCTAGATCTGGTGTTGAGCAGCGTGAACGTGTCGTTGTAGGATCGTCAAGACGGAAACGGCGGGCGATGAGAAGAGCGGAAGCTGCGAGAAGGCCGGTTGATATGTTGGACGGCTAAAGCGCAACGCGATGCCAATGAAGACCTTGCAGATGGACGACGGAATAACAGGACGGAGGGAGGGCTACCTTCGGAGGCCACGCACGAAAAGGCCGCGCCAAGAGTCGGCGGCACGAGAAAGGATCGACGGAGATGGCACCGGGCGGATGCGAAGGGGGCCCAGCGGTCCGGAGAGAGATGGCCGATGGACTCGATGGACAAGGGGCCGAGGGGGCCGAGATGAGATGATCGAGGGTGTGCGCGTGTGCTATCGAGCCCACTGTGCACAGGGAAAGGAGCGAGTGCCGATGGTGAAGGCGAGAGGAGAGATGGCGAAAAGATGGCCGGGCGAGGATGAGTTGCCAAAGGATGGTGCGAGGAGGTGACACAACCACAAATCCACAGCCCCCACGCGCTGTGCTGTGCTGTGCTGTGCTGTGCTGCTCTGTTTCGTTGTGGCTGGATTTGCTGCGGGCGTGCATCTCGCTGCTCGCTGTTGGCCGCCGAGCCCGCGTTTTCGCGCTGGCGGGGCTGCTGACGGCGTCCATCGGCGGGCCGGGCGACCGACGCGAGAGAACCCTCTCTCCCCCCACTCACTCAGCCCGCCGCCGTAATTTCAGTGCCCCTCTCCTCCTCCCCTCTACCGGGCAGCTATCATCAAAAATGAATACCAATTTCCATTCTTTTTCGCAGTGCCATCCGTGTACGATAGAGCAACGATACCGCCCTCGCTATGTATGTTGATTAGACGGGTTGGTGGCGGGGAATGCTAGCGCTACCGATGGGTGCCATGTGCCAGCACCAGTGCAAAGAGCCAATGGCGAATCATCTGCCACGCCCCCCCACGGCCACACCTCGGTCGGCGAATTCCAGCCTCATGGATCCGCCGAGAGGTCCACGCTGACCTGAATTGAACCTTGTTGGAGGCGTCATGCTCGCTCACCTGCAACGAGCGGACTAAAAATTTGGATTTCGCTGTTTTCGGCGGATGCCAGAGCCACTGCTCACGTGCAGTGCCAAAAAAAGGATGGCCGTTCGCGCCGAGCAGCCAAGGCCCCGCCCCGGCCGCCACCGCAACCGGTCAACCGCTCGCTCGTCGGTCCGAGCGCGCCGAGGCGCCGAGCTCTCCTTCCCCCAAAATCCCACTGCGCCAGCGCCTGTCAGACTCTGCCGCGCAAATGCATCCCCGCGTGCACGTCCTCGCGGCCCTCCTCTCCGCTTCATGCATCCGCACCCCAGCTCGTGCTCGGGCCTCAGCTCATCCTCGAAGCTTGTCTCGCAGCACTCTTGCCTGTCCCCGCAGCCAGCCACAAGCGCAATCGCGCCCCCGTTCATCTCGGTATCTGATTTGACTTTGGCCTGGTTTGAGGGCCGACGGGCCGCGCAGAGTGGGTCTTCGTATATAGTGTTTGAGTCCGTTTGAGCCGGGCTTGTGCTTCGTTCCCCCGGTCTGTCACCATCTGCTCTATCTGAACCTCAGCTCATCGGCCCTGCACTACCACAAATATGCGCTACATCATCCGAGACGACAAAGCCGCCGTCGGCAAATACGTAAGTGTCGAGTTTCCCCCCCTTCCGGACGCAGATGCCGCGCGAAGAGGCAGAATCGCTGACAGCAGAGGAATCGCATCGCCGCAATAGGTCGCCGAATACGTCGCCAAGCGCATCAATGCTCACTTTGAGGTGACCGACCGACCGTTCGTGCTGGGCTGCCCCACCGGCTCCTCGCCGCTCGAGACGTACAAGACGCTCATCCAGATCCACCGCGAGGGGCGCATCTCGTTCAAGAACGTCATCACCTTCAACATGGACGAGTACGTCTCGCTGCCCAAGTCGCATCCCGAGTCGTACCATTCCTTCATGTGGAACAACTTCTTCAGCCACATCGACATCCAGCCGCAGAACGTGCACATCCTCGACGGCAATGCGTCGGACCTCGTGGCAGAGTGCAACGACTACGAGGCCAAGATCCAGGCCGTCGGCGGTATCGACCTCTTCATGGCCGGTGTGGGCTCCGATGGGCACATTGCCTTCAACGAGCCCGGTTCGTCGCTCGCCTCGCGCACGCGCATCAAGACGCTCGCCTACGACACCGTGCTCGACAACTCGCGCTTCTTCGACAACGACCCGCTCAAGGTACCCCGCATGGCCCTCACCGTCGGTGTTCAGACTGTTATGGACGCCCGTGAGATTTTGGTCATTATCGTCGGGCAGCACAAGGCACATGCGCTCGCAAAGTGCGTCGAAGAGGGCGTCAACCACATGAACACCGTCTCGTGCATCCAGCTCCATCCCAACGCACTCCTCGTCTCGGACGAGGACGCTACTTCGGAGCTTCGCGTACGCACCGTCAGGTACTTCAAGGGCATCGAGCGCGCCCAGGAGGAAATCGAAAAACTCTACGGTCTTCACGGCCACAAAAAGTCACCCTCGTCCGGTGGTAGCCCCGTCGTAAACGGTTCCATCAACTAGGTCTTTCATCCTCTTCCGTAGCTCTCGAATCATCCTTGTGTATATCATACCCGCACTCGAATCCCATATTCTGTTCATTCTTGTCTCTCCAACGCTGTGCATTCGCACTTGCAGACGACTTGCCTGCCTAATGGCTGTGGTTGCAAACATACGAATGCAAGATGAAGAAGCTAGGCTGTGGCCCGCACGCCGGCTAGAAGATCAGCGATAGCCAGCGCCGGCTCGAGCGCAGGATGGTGGACCGCTTCGTGCGCGTGCTGGTCGTCTTGCCCTTGGATGGGAGCCGACGAGCTGCACTGTGCCAGCTCGCCGACGTACTGCTGGACGAAGCTGCTGACAATGCGCAAGATGTCTTCCAGCTGACCCTCGGCGAGCAGGCCCAGTCGGTAAAACTGGCGTTCTGGATCGCACAGCCGCAGCAAGAACACCAGACATCCCATTATCCAGTGATGGTGAATCAGAGGCAAGACCGCCAGATTTCCCACTAGCCCTGCTCGGGGTGCAACGAGGAGCCGAAGGACATCCATGCATGCGCTCTGGCACTGCTGTGCGCACGATATGTGCGAGGCTACAGCCGCACTTGTCTGTTCCGGCGTTGCAGCTGTGCAGCGCGTCTCGTACGCTCTGCACGCCACGATCAGCATCCGTGCCTTGGCGAGCGCATGGTGAAGGTCAATCGTATGGTCGCCTTCGGCCTTTCGATCCGGATCGGTTGCGAGTTTCGCTCTGGCATCGTACCAGCTGCCTGTGATTTCCCGGCTGAGCTTAAGCAGCTCCTCCGCATCCGTTATGCCCCTCGACTTGGTGACGAGATATGCGATCCGGCAATAGAACACGAGTGCAGCATCTTGTTTCGTCATACCCAGACCTCCAGGCGAGGTCGATCGTGTCGGTCCTGCGGACGAGTCGGAAGTGAGCGCCTGGCCGTACTGCGCCGGATCGACGAGCTGCATGATGGGTTGCTTGTCGTGAATCTCGCACTGATGCAGCTCAGCGAGGAAAGCGGTGAGCCATACGCGCACACGGTCCTGCATATTGACGGGACGGACCGGCGGAAGGATGGCGACCATCTCACCGACTGTCAGCCCAGCATGAGGTCCCGACTCGTAGCTGTACTTTTCGCTCCACCATCGCGCGGCTCTCGCCACCCTCCACGCGTCCGGCGAGGCATCGTAGGCACTCCAGATACACGCACCCACCACCTCCTCCGTGCCGATCCCGCTTTCGGGGTTGAATTCGTCCTCGGCAGTAGCAGGTGCGTACGGGAGCGTGCGATCAAGGACATCCGCGCGCAGTCGAAGCTGACGTTCGCATAAGTCGGCGTGCGAATACCGCGAGGCAACCGTTGCGATCGCCGAGAGCAGGACTGGAGTCAGCTCGTTCGAGGCAGGAAAGTCGGGAAAGCCAAATGCGAACGGCTCGATTCGCTTGGCGTATAGCGAAAAGAGCGATCGTGCTTCATGCGAAGAGAGGATGCCGAGACGAACTGCGTCTAAGCGCGGATCGTTGCTCCCGAGACTCGCATCTGGGTAGCGGTATCGACTAGGACGCGAGAGCAGCGCCGTTTTGGGTTCGGCTGTGGGCGGTGCCGGGCTGCTGAGAGCAAACCGAGGAAGTGCAAGGCTACTCTGTGCCCTCGGAGAGCCTTGTACCTTCGCGTCACGACATACTGTTACGTCCGTTCCAGAAATGATCGTGCCTGGTCCATTTGCCAAAGGATTGAGCCCAAACACAGCGGACGGTCGCCGGGAAGCCGAGATGCCTCTATGGTCCATGGGCGTTGCGGTTGTTGACGCATTCGCCAAGTGTGGCTGCACGCGGTAGCCCAGCATGGACTCGTTGAGCGTCATCGCATGTGTCGACCCCGCCGCCCTTGCATTCGATGGACCGGCTGCCGGACTGGCATGCGCCGACTCGTCGCGCCACCCGTCATCGGTGGTTTTGCGCTTGCGCCAGCTCGATGACGACTCCTGCTGCACCAGCGCATTGATGGCCGACACGAGCTTGGTGAGCGTCTCGTCGGTCTTGACGCGCCACTCGTCGTGCAGGAACGCGCTTCCCATCTCTCGCGGCTTGAAGGCACATTCATAGCCGCCGTTCTTGCAGCGCTTGCACGGCGCGGTACCGTCGTGTTCGCACCGGACCTTGGACCTGCGGCAGCTGGAGCAGGCACCCACCACCTTGTTCCGACCCGCATCAGATGCATCGGGCGAGTACGAGCGCGGTGCATCGGCCATATCGCCCGACGTCGACGCAGATGATGCGGATGAGATGGACCCTCTAGCCAGGCTAGCCATTTCAGCAGTCATGTTTTCGTTGATGCGGTGATCGGAGGACGAGGGTGTCGAAACAATCAGAACACATCGAACGGGTTTATAAAGTCGGGCAACCTCCCAGCGCAGAGAGAGATACACAGTTGCCTACCGTCACGGTTCATTTATATCAAGGCGGGGTGCGAAAGTCACGTCCGAACTTCGGCTTCAAAGTTCCCCACGCCAAACTTTCACAGGTTGCAGGCATGGTCAAGCTTTGCGAAATGAAGCATGCGGGGTGCCGGTTTAGCCATGGCTCATGCTCATAGCTACGACGGGCCGAGTCGGCAGCCGAAAGCTTCGGATGTGCTCTGAGCGTTTCTCAGGACGTCAGGCAGCGATGAAATGCCCGCCGCGAGTGCCGTGCAGGTTGCCGTGCACAACCGCCAAGCTTTGTGCGCCTCGAGCAAAAGGCTCTGTGTTGCAGCCATTCGGGGCGACAAAGGCTCCGGTCCTGGACCGTCCCCCACGATCCTCTCGGCGCTTTCGCCGAATGCCTCACCAGGGCGGAAAACATTTTGAATGTTAGAGCCTCGGAAGGCAGAGCTGGTGTTAGGGTGAGGGGATTGACATTGTTGCGCTTTGTGCCTCACGTGGCTGTGGCCGCGGCCATCTCCGAGAAACGGCTCGAAGTCTTCGCAGTCCGAGCTTCCGATCTTGGCACGAGCGCACCTCGGAGCTGCAAAAGTGGAGCTGGCGCCAGACATACAAGTACCTCGACCCTGCTCAGCCGCTGCATCACTCCGCTTCCCCACACACACTCAGATCTCGAGATCTTGCCAATCAAAGCACTCGCAAAATGTCGTCGGATTTGCTCGCACACGCCAAACGCTGGCTCGACAAGGACCCGGATGCGTCTACGAAGCGCCAGCTCGCCGAACTTATCGAGAGTAACAATGTCAAGGAGCTCCAGACATGCTTCAACGGTCGTCTCGAGTTTGGCACGGCCGGTCTGCGAGGTGTCATGGGAGTCGGCCCGAGCAAGATGAACCTCCTCACGGTCCTCGAGACCACCGCCGGTCTTGCCGAGTACCTGCTCAAGAGCGACGAGGCCAAGGCCAAGAGCCAGGGCGTGGCCATCGCATTCGACGGTCGCTTTGGAAGCAAGGAGTTCGCCTACTCTTCTGCTCAGCACTTTGCACACCGCGGCATCCCCTCGCGCATCTACCCCACGCCAACGCCCACGCCCATGTGCGGCTATGCCGTCAAGAAGCTCGGTCTGGCCGGTGGCATCGTGGTCACCGCGAGTCACAACCCCAAGGAGTACAACGGATACAAGGTGTACGGCCCTGCCGGCACCCAGATCAACACACCCGTCGACGGTCTCATCGCCGACGAGATCCTTAAGATTGCCGAAGAATCCCAGCCGCCAACACTGGCCAGCCTGGAAGAGTGCAAGCTGAAGGGCATCATCAAGGAATTTGGCGACGAGATGCTCACCGATTACATCAAGGACGTCCAAGCGCTCGGCACTTTTGCGTCGGAGGCAGTGCACGGCAGAGATGCGCCCATCAGCATTGCATACAGTCCGCTGCACGGCGTGGGCGCGCCGTCGATCGAGCGCCTTTCGAAGGAGGTGGTTGGCCTCACAGAGGGCGTCAACTTTTGGATCTCGGAAGAGCAGAGAGAGCCTGACGGAGCGTTCCCCACGCTCGAATTCCCCAGTAAGTGCACCTTGCCCTGCGTTCTCTCACTTTGCGCATTTAGCCCAGACTGACTGAGCTTGAATTTGCGCCTACAGACCCCGAAGAGCTCTCTACCCTCGAACTCGTCCACCGCCTGTCGGAAGAGAAGAAGACGGGCCTGGCCATCGTCAACGACCCGGATGCAGACCGACTGGCCGTCTCGGCTCGTGACGCCACGGGCAAGCTTCGCGCGCTCACCGGCGACCAGCTCGGAGCATTGCTCGGCGACGAGATCCTCCGACGTGCCGCTAAAGCCAACAGCGGAAAGGCCGGCGTTTGGACGCTGAGCACGATTGTCTCCAGCCGTCTGCTTGCCCGTCTCTCTGGTCACTGGGGAGGCCGTCATGTCGAGACGCTCACCGGCTTCAAGTGGCTCGGCAACGTGGCTCGCGGCATCGAGGCGCGTGAAGGCACTGGCTCCTTTGGCTTTGGCTACGAGGAGGCGCTTGGCTACATGGCCGCCAGCTCGGTGTGGGACAAGGACGGATTGTCGTCGTACCTTTTGATCGTCTCGATGGCGTTTGACCTCGCACGCGAGGGCAAGACGCTCTGGGACCGACTCGAGGAGCTTCACCGCCTCGTTGGCCTCTCGGTCACCATGCAGAAGATCATCAAGCTCAGCCCATCCATGAAGGGCACCGACGTCATGACCAAGGTTCGCGCCGATCTCGACGCTGGCAAGGAGAACGTCGCCGACAAGGCCGGCAAGGAGTACACTTTCAGCTTGGTCGATGATCTCAAATCGCGCCCAGCGTACGACCAGGCCAAGGCCGACGCGGGAGACCTGAGCATCCCCAAGAACGACGTGTTGCGTTTCTACGTTCCTCCTAGCCATGTCGATGCGCAGGCTCAGCGAGAGCAGCAGGAGATCATGCTCGGCGATGTGCGCGTCATCGTCCGTCCTTCAGGCACCGAGCCCAAGGTCAAGATCTACACCGAGGCGCTCGGACAGATCCGCGACGGCGAGGCGTATCCCGATGCCGTGCAGAGGGTCTCGCGCGAACTCGAGGAGGTCGTCGATGCTTTCTGGGCCTGGATGAGCTGAGCTCGCTCTCTCTCCAGCACCTGCTGTCCTCCGTCTCAATCAAAAGCTATCTGTACTTGCTTTGACTCCTCCAGTGAAACTGCCGGCGGGAAAGGCTGAGCTTGAGGCTGAGATTTTTGCCACAGCTGGCGGAGGCGGGAGTGCCTCTCCGCAGTTTGCGCGTGAGAACGCCTCCACATCCCAAAAAAGTCGCCCCATCAGACCCTGCATGTCGGCCATTTGCGCTGCGGGACAATGGAGCCACGCGTCGCTGAGCGCACAAGTCCGTGTCCCCTCATTCACGCTCATCCTCTGCAGTACCTCCTCAGGACGGCCGCAGATCATTCTTCGCACAGAGACAGGAATAGATGCACACTTCGCTGTTGCGTCTTCCCTCCGACCCATCATCTCTTTATCCATAGATCCAAGCAAAGATGAATCCGCAACCACCGGGATCTTTCGATGGTGCCAACGAACCAGCCCAATCAATCCAACCTCCCGCCGTGGAGCAAAGCATTCCCGTGCAGGAGCCTCTGTCGCCGCAAGAGAAGCTGGAGGTCGAGGAGGAGCGTCAAGAGGCAGCGAGCTTGAACGAGGCGGCGCTTTCGATTCCCGACTCGGAGGCCGATGACGATGCAGCTTCGACCTACGAACCGGCCAACGAAGCTGTGCCTGGAGACGCAGGCGTCGTCGTTGGCGGTGGCAACCCCGTAGACTGGCAGGGCGTGCTGGGCCACTCGGCCTCGGGTCTTGGGGCCGCAAATGCAGCCACCTCTGCCTACTTCAACTTTGCGCGCACCGCCACCGCGTTCGGCCTCAATGTGGCCAAGCGTGTCACACAGGGTCTCGTTGCCGTTCCCGCGCTCTTAGCGGACGGCGCCCTCACTGGCACAGCTCCCGGCGACACGTCAGGAACTCCCTCCATCGCCCGGGTCGCCCATTCGGGCATCGCAAGCTTCTTCGACACTATTTCCCTGGTCGCCGTCGGCGGCATCGACCTCACGAGCGCAGTCACTAGTGCAGGCCTCGGTGCAGCCTCATCGGGCGTCGAAGGCGTTCGCCGCTCGCTCGGCTCCGAGGTGCTGCGCAGCTTGCTCGAGTTCTCCAAGCTCGTCAAGCGCGAGTGGAGTGCCGAGGACGACTCGCTTCCGCCGGGAGGTATCCCGGCCTACTCGATCGTCGGCCTCATCAAGGCGCTCACCACCTGGGTCTCGATCCAGCTCGTCACGCGCAAGTTCCAGGAGTCCCGCATCCTGCAAGGCCTCGACGAGATCGATACCGACAAACTCAAGAGCGACGTCGAGGCGCTCAAACAGACCCACCATGTCAATGTCACCGCAGCACCGCTCGTTCCCATCACGGCAGGCGGTCAAGCGGAACAGACTGCAGACGCCGCCCAGTCAGGACAGTCAGATGTTAGGATCACGTCGAATCAGACCCTCTCCGGCGATGCTGGTAGCGTCATCGGTGCCGAGATCGGCCACAGGGATGGATCGAGTGCGAGGCTGCCGGGCTCTACGCTGTCCGACGAGCCCGCTAGGCCGCTGTCGGATGCAGAGGCCATACACAACTTGCAGCGCTACTCGAAGCTCGTCCTGGGCGTGTACGGTGGCATGGCGCTCTACTGGCTCAACTCGATGCCTCAGGGTAGCCAGACCACCAGCACCCAAATTGCTGCTCCGGCCTCTGGTGCCAACGGCATCATCTTTTCAGCCGAAGACGAGTTCATGCGCAAAGATCAGGCCGAGTTCCTCGAAGCTGCCGCGCAGATGGAGCTTTCGGATGACGAGGACGATGAGGATGCTGCAACGCCGCCGCAGGCAGCTGCCGCAGCCACCAACGGCCATGCCTCGTCGTACAACCTCTGGGATGTGATCTCGGGCACACACGATGAAGACCTCTTCCACCACACTGCGAATCTCGAGCGGGGTGCTGCGGCGCATGGCCAATACGACGAAGACCACGCCTCTGCGTCTCAACGCCCTCCGCACAACCCGAACCAAAAGGCGCGTCCGAGCAAGCCGCGCTTCTACGTGGTGACGGACCACCCGCGCAAGACGATCATCCTGGTGCTGCGAGGTACGCTGTCGGTGGGCGATGTGGCAGCCGACCTGACGTGCGAGTCGGTTGCGTTCCGCTTCGATGCCAATGTGCAAGCGAGCATGGACAAGGCGGTGGTCGCGGCGGGAACAGAGGCAACGGGGCGTAGCGGGATTTTCGTCGATGATTCTGTGCAGGATCTGTGCCACGAGGGCATGTACATTACGGCGCAGGAGATCGGTGCGCCCGGACGCGCGGTGCATCGCTCGGTGGGTGCGGCGCTGGCAGCTAATCCGGGCTACTCGATCGACATTACGGGTCACTCGCTCGGGGCGGGTGTGGCGTCCGTGCTTGCCATGATGTGGGCCGATCCGACGACGGGGCTGACCACGGCTTCGTCCCGCCTACCTGCGGGGCGTCGACTGCACGCGTACTGCTTTGCCGTGCCATGCGTGACAAGTGCAGCCCTGGGAAAGAAGGTGAGCTCGATCATCACCTCGTTTACCTACTCGTACGATCTCGTGTGCCGCCTGTCGCTGGGTTCGATCCAGGATATCCGCAACGGAAGCGCGTGGCTGTGCTACCAGGACAAGATGGCCGCACACGGCGATGGGACGATGAATGCGCTCATGAAGCGCGCCTTCGAGTACCAGTCCGGCCGCATGCAGGAGGCGGCGAGCAAGGAGACGGAACACGAAATGCTCGTGCTCAGGAAGACGCTCGAGGCGAATATGCACAATACCCACCTCTTCCCTCCCGGCAAGGTGCTGTATGCCCTCACGAGTGGCGATGATCTTCTCGCCGAAGAGGGCGAGACCCACAAGAAGCAGCGCCTGTTTAGGGTGAAGGATGATAAGGAGGCGCTCAAGAAGGTGTTTGGCCAAATCATCTTTTCGAGAAACATGCTCTCGTGCCACATGCCCAATGTCTACGATGCCCGTCTCCACGACCTCACCCGCTAGCCACACATGTATTTCGCCCCCTTGTAGTTTGGTAGACGGCTAGACGAATGCAATTCCAACACGGATACAGTACAGAATGAAGAAGTTAGAGCTGCGAGTTGCACCATTCGAGGAGGGCGCGTTCGGGGGCAGACTTTGCGGCGTCGTGGTTGAACTTTGCGAGGCCGAGGCTTGTGCGAGCTTTTTGACCCGCCACTTGGTCCGGGGTAGCCCTGCCGTGTGCGTCCGACTCGCCCTTTCCACCCGGAAAGTCAGGCGGGGGAACACCTCGTTCGAAGCACTGACGCTGGTTCATGATGTAGGACCAGTTGACCTTTGTGGTGGGGATGGCGGGGATGTAGAGGACGCTGCTGTCCGACTTGCCACGGTGGGTGTTTTCGACCGAGTGGACGGCGTCGCAGTGCCAGAGCACCATATCACCCGGGTTGACGTGCGGGATGCTGGTCATGGTCTTGTCGAGTGCCAGGTGCGGATGAGTCGTGGTGGACAGCTCGATGTTGTGCCCCAGACTGCACCCGGGGAATCGACGCGAGGTGGTATCGAGCACCCAGTTGTCGGCATGCAGGAACTGCGCTTCGCTACTGCACTGCGCACGTGGGACGAGGGGCGTGAAGAAGGGACGCAAGACAATGTACGCCGTCGACTCGCGCAGGAATGGAAGGACTCTGAGCGTTCCTTCGCCTGCACGCGTCGTCGACATGGACAACCACCCCTGCAACGGCCGGAATACTGCACACTGACCGGGACCGTCGTACATATCGGTCTTGGCAGTCATCCTCTCGCCATTGGCACCAAGCGACCACGGATCATGCTTGGTCCAGTCCCCCTCCTCTTGCAGGATCGAGCTCCACAGCCCGCGGAAGTTGTCGCACTCCCACCTCTCCACGCCGCCGCCATCGATGTGTGCGCCCAGCGCGAACTTGGCGTCTCCAGGCTGTCGGATCCTCAGTCGGTCGCAGTAGTTGAGCGGCTGCCCCAGCACCGCTGTGGTATCGACGCCCAGCGCCGAGTTGGACGCCGGTTGGTGGAAGAGCTGCAGGAATCGTTCCGAGGTGGTGAGCAGGTTCGGGTGGGTGCGCGCCGCCTGCTGTGCCGGAGTCCAGTAGAGCTCGTACACCTGCGGGTTGTCGTCCGGGAAGCCCTTGGCGTTGTTCCTCGCCGCATACGCCTTGATGTCCTCCTTCCACGCCAGTACCTGGTCCGAAGGGATCACGTTGCGGATGACCGCAACACCGCGGTGCTGAATCGCCTCGTATGTCGATGCGTCCGTCCAGCTTTGCAGTGGGCCAACATCCGATGTAGAGGGAAACGTCACTTCGGGAATGCTATCCCCACCCAGACGCTCCGTCTCGGCAACGCGCGCGGACAGCGCAGAGAGGACGCTGCGCCAAGTTGTCTGCAGGTACTCTGCGTGCGAGGGCGATGTAACCAGGGAGCGCTTGAGGTCGGCAAACCGGTCCGGAAGTGCATCTTCCAATGTGCCTCCTGAAAGCGTGGCAAAGACAGATGCAATAGTACCCTCGCCCTTGCCCGCCTTCATGGTGGGAGGCGGTGGCGGTGGCGTGCTGGACGAGATCGTTTCCACTGCAGGCTTCAAGTACCGTGGCGAAGTGCTGAATGAACGTGCAGGGGCAAGCGCCCGTGCCGAGGGCCCCACAGGGCGTGCGTGTGTTCGAAGTATCCTTGCCAACATGGTGATCGTTATGGTGGCGATGTGATGACCGGTTCTACCATCAGTGTGAATCTGGGGTATATATCCATCCGTGTTGAGTATGGGGGATACAAACATGGGCCGGCACCACGAGGGAGGTCTAGACGGAGCGGAACGCCGGCCGCAAAGTTCACCGGCGTCGACGTCGGAACATCTCCACAAAGCGCCGAGCCCCAGCCAAAGGATCCGGTCGGCATGGATGGACTCCAAGAATGTCGCAGCACGCAGTGGGAGAAAGTTCGGCGCGGCCAAACTCTCTCTCCCCGCGTTTTTTTGTGGATTGGTCGGCGAGGATCGGTGTGTTTGCGCTGCCTGCATCGGCAACCAAATTCACCGTCGCCGAGCCAATTCTCCCGCGCTCGCTCAAATCGTCCGCACCCAATTGCCCACCCCACGCTCCGTCAAATCGCCATTGCCGGCAGTACAACGCAAGCTTCGGGCCCACCGAACCGGTCGGTGGGTTCACAACGCCGGCAGCACCACCCTATCGGTACCCGAGTGCCGAAGCTACCGTTCATACCACCATCCTCCATACCGTCCCGTTACCATCAAATGCCCGAAGACAGATCCAAGAAATGTCACCATCACACCGCATGCACCGTCGACCGCGGACAAGACGACACCTCATCAGACATATACCACAGACTACAGCCAAGAGCGGAATAAAAGGTTGCAAATAGACAGCAGAATAAAGAAACACCTGTCGAGCATTCGGACGGCTACACTGCCTCCTCGCGTCGTACCACGGTGGCCGTATACATCTGGCACGGGTGCGTGACCGAGGTCAGATACCGGAGCGGCCAGTCCGCCTGCTGTCCCTGCGCTTTGGTGCCCCAGCCAAAGTGGTATCGGTCGATGACGGCGGCGACCATGCTGAGCGCCTCGTAGTTGGCGAGCGTCATGCCGAGGCACAGGCGCGGGCCTCCGTTGAAGACGTGGAACTTCCACTGGCCGTAGTTCTTGAGACTACGCGTCTCGGTGCCGTCGGCCGCCTTGCTCGTTTCGATGAATCGGTACGGGTTGAACTCGCAGCAATCGGGACCCCACACATCCGGGTTCCTCGCGATGGCCCAGTCGGACCACGAGAGCAGCTCGCCGGCGTAGATCTTGATCGGCGGAAGGCCAGCGGCCGTCGGCCCCTGTGGGATGATCACGTCGTCCTTGATCGCACGCTTGCCGTTCTTGGGAACCGGCGGGTGCAGACGGATGGCTTCGTTGAAGCACGCCTGGGTGAAGACGAGGTCCTTGGCCGTGTCATAGTCGAGCTTGCGGATGCTTCCGTCCGCCTCGCCGAGCACCTCGCGCACCTCCTTGCGGATCTCATCCACGTACTCGGGCTGCTTCATGAGCTCGTAGAAGAGCCACGAGAGGCCCTGGGCGGTGGTGTCGCGACCGGCAATGATGAAGTTGAGCACCACAGAGATGAGGTCGTCGCGATCCGTGGTGACGTCCATGAATAAATCGAGCAGATCCTTGCCCTCCTTACCGTCTGAGGACTTCTTCTCCTTTTGGATTCCCGCGGCCCGCTCGCGCAGACGCTCCTCGATGATGGTGACGGAAAAATCGTTGATCTTCTTGACCATCTTGGCGGCCTTCCTGCCTTCGGACGAAAAGCGCTCGATGATCTGCCAGAAAGGCAGACGGAATCGCTTGTCGATGACCATCTGGACAAAGTCGAACGCGGTGGAAAACTCGACCTCCTGGTGCAGGCAGCTCGGGTCGGCACTGAGGCAGTCGATGTCCGAGCCGAAGGCCATCTTGCCAAACGACGAGAGCGTATATCGGAAGAAGAGGTCGGGCAGCAGCAAGGTGGCCGGGTTGTCGGCCGACTTGCCCTCGGTCAGAGCGTCGAGGATGCTGGTGACACTGTCGAGCTCGCGATGGACGACCGTCTGGACCCAGGTGCGGAACTGGTAGACGGAGAAGATGTGGGATGCCATCTTGCGCTGCGCCTTCCACACATGACCGTCCGAGTTGAAGATGCCGTTCTGACCGAGCAGGTCGAGGAAGCGCTTCTTGAACTCGAGGCCCTTTTCGAAGTTTTCAAAGTTGGTCTTTTGGACGTACTCGATGTACTCGGGCCTGTGTACAACGTGCATCTGACCCGTGCCGGTGCCGGCAATGGAGAGGCTGAATCCGATGGGGTTCTCGCGACCCGTCTCGAGGAACCAGTCGAGGATGCTGTGGTCGTTGCGCCTCATGGCCTCCAAGGTGTGGCCGATGAGCGGATGGGCAGGAGGACAGTAGAGCTCCTTCCTTGGCGGTTTGGAAAAGATGACACGGTTGTGGTACTTGATGGACAGGAAGGCCAGCGTGAGGGCGATCAGAGGGAGCACCAGCCCCGTTCGCTCCAGTACCGCGTTGGTGAGATCGAAGGCATGTTGAATGTAGGCATTGTCCGAACGCAGGTCGATGTGCTTTTGCGCCGAACCGGCTGCACCAAAGGCTGAGAAGGCAGGCATCTCGACAAGGTTTATTGGCTCGGCCCGGTGCCCAGGGCGTCTGGCGAGAGACACAGGAGAGGGATCACCGTCAAAATGGACGGAGACAAGAGTCGATGGTCGGAAAGGAAGCGCCACGAGGTAGGATCGTGGACGGCTCGAATGGACGTGAAAGAAAGAGAGTCGGCTGGGGTAGCCCTTGCACTAGGGGTGTCAGAGCAACGTTGAAGTTAGCATCGAGGGTTAAATAAGGGTTTGGATCCGACGGGAGAGCTCAGCTCAAGTGGACACCTCGGACGGAGGAACGAGTGCATGGGCCGCAGCTCTCAAACTGCGACTCGCTGCAATGGAGGTGGAGACTGAGCTTCCAAGGGCAGCAGGCGAGCTGAGCTGCACCGCTCGGAGCACGGATTCGCTGCAAAGTCCCGGTTGTGACAGGAGGAGGCGACAGATTGTGAGCAGTGAGCATGCGGTGACAGGACAGGTGCGCACATAGGCACGGGAAGATGGCGACGTGCACCTGGGCAGTGTGGAGTTACGTGCGGAGCTGGCATCCCGCACAGCAGCGCCTGCAGATGGTGACCGCCGTGTGTTGGTTTGGGCACCGCCTTGCGAGGCGCGTGATCAGATTCAAGCGACCAAATAGCGCCCAGCGCTGTCATCTTGGCGCTCGTGGCAATCACAGGCAGCGTCAGCAAGGATGACGGTGCAGATTGCTTCTATCGTCGAGGGCGTATCGCTTCCATCGGCACATCCACATCCCAAGCGTACTGTAATGTGATTCCGAGCCTGGGATTCTGATTCATGCTGTGCTCCAGAGTGACCAAGCGACCCCTTTTGATTTCACACGGGAAGGCACACACTCAACATCGGTCGCCACACACTTGTGCTTGTGATTGGGGATGAACGGGACTGCTGCGAACACACACACACACACACACACACACACACAGTGCGCAGAGAGGTCCGAGGCGGAGAGCGGATCTGGGGGCGAAAAGGTGTCATTGTCTTGCCTGTCGTGCGTGGAAGCGGGGAGGAATGTGGGGTAGTGTTTCGCGACATGCTTCTCCGCGCGCCTTTTCCAGCCTGATCATCGCCAGAGCAACAAAATTTGCAGCGGGCGGGGGGGCAGAGCAAGAGCACATTTGGGGCTTCCGTCAGAATATCCGGGCGAGGTTACCACCGATGCTCACGCCAAGCGATCTGTGCAAGTCGGTCTAACAGAAGGAAAACTCGGCGCTGCACCACACCATCAAGCCTGTTCACACGGCGGCCAGGCTTGGCGGCGACATTCCGCGGAGCATGGAGCGGCCTCCTGGTGGCCACACCAACCTCCGGGCCGTTCTTCCGAGATATCGTTGACCGTACAGATCAAGGTGGGGCATGTGGAGACCCTTGCACACAGACAACTCACTGATTGGCATAGCAAAGACATTTGACATTGCGAGCGTTCAACTATGCAGCTCTTCTGCGGCGACAGGATCAAAGCTAGAGCTTCTCGAATCGGCTGCGGAGCTTGGCGATCCAAGAGTCGGCCATCTGGATGGGGCCCTCGTAGCCCGTGACGAGCCTGTACGAGTTGTTGATCTCGTAGCTGTCCACCTTGAGCGTGCCGTCGGTGAAAGCGACCGAGGCGATGATGTTCTCCGGCGTAGCGATGCGACCGGGCATGAGCGGGTGTCGGAGGTCCGTCAGATGTGCCCAGCCGCTCTCTCGCGTCGAGGCCTCGAACTTGAGCAGATCGTCGTGGGGTACCACCTCGTTCTTCAGCACGTCGTGCATGATCTTCCAGCCTGCAGGATTGATGCGTATCCTGTCGGGGTTGGCCCGCACAAAGTCGGCCGGCTCGGAATCCTGCGAAGACGACGACGTGGTCGGCAAGATGAAGGCGATGGCCGCGTCGTCATTCGCGGATGGCTGCGAGAGGAAAGAGACCGCCCAGCCTTCCACTGTCTCGGCAGGCTCGCCCGGTCCGCGCGCAACGCTGATCTCGGTAGGATGGTAGTAAAGACCAGTTTGTGGCTCTGGATCCTTGACCGTGGTGCGACCCGACGAGCTGGCTTGAATAGTTGGCGAGGAGCTGAAGCAGCGTGCGGCCTGCGGAAGGCTGTTGCAGAATACTGCTCCTTGGCGATTTGGCGCAACTACGGACCTCGATGAGCTTGCTCTTCCGACCTGATTCGCAGTAGCTGAGATGCGTGTCGAAAACATCGCGCGCGAACCGGCGTGGCTATCCGTAAGAGCGCCTCGCAAGAGCAGCGTGGCCCGAGCAGCTGCCCGAGGCGTGATAGCAGCAATCATATCCGCTGTTGCAGTGACTGAGAGTGATGTTGATGGCTCTGAGGGTGCAATGCTCCAACGAGGGACAACCCAGAGACAACCTCGTCGGGTATTCCGTCTGCTTTTCGGTCGACGTTCGAGTTGGTGAGAATTGTGGAGGCTTTGAAATCACTGTCGCCTTCTGCCTCTGATTTTTTTGGGTCACCTGCACGCGCTCATCTCCGAGTCCCGAGACCCTCACCGCCCTCAAGGCTCGAGCTTCGCGCTCTTCCTCTCCATATGGCGACAACCGCACAACATGCCACTCGACTCGACCTTCGCCTAGCTATACAATGGCGAGAACCACTTTCACCATTCTTAGAGGCAACCATCGTTGCATACATTTACATTCAAGACCTCGTGATGTTGTGCTTGCGAGATCGGTCAAAACAGGACGAGGTCGCCGTTTCGGTTGTTTCAATGGCCTCGTTGCGCGAAAGCGTGCCGGTCGAGAGATGCCTGAATGCTATGGCGTCTACCGCCTCCCACTTAGAGGACAAAGGCACCAGCGAGGGCGGCGACAAAGGTGCAAGCAACCATGCCGGTGAGGTAGACGGGAAGCTGAGTGGTGGTGCCAATAGCGGCGTTGGCAGCCTTGGAGGTGGTGGCCGAGGCACCGGCAGCGGAGCCGCTGTTGCCCTGACCGTTGTTCTGGCCGCTGTTGGCGCCAGTGTTGCCCTGGCCGTTGGTGCTGCCGGTCATGGTGGCCGTGAGCGAGCCAAGAAGCGAGCCGAGGTCCGAGTTGCTGGCGCCGCCGTTGGCAGCGATGGACGAGGCGATCGAGAGGTACGAGTACGCCTGGCTCTCCTGCGATGCAATGAACGACGAGTAGCTGGGGTCGAGCGACATGCCGCTGAGAGCACCATACTGCGATGCAAGGTAGCCGGACAGCGACGCGAGCGCACCAGGGTTGGTGTACTGCGACAGGTTGTAGGGGTCAAAGCCTAGCAAGCGATGGAGTCAAGATGCAAGGCGAAGCGTCAGCCATCTGCAGAGTATGCGCACAGACAACGGAAAGCCCCAGTCGAGCTTTACTTACTGGCCTGCCTCTTCTCCACCTTGGGGGCGGCGGTGGGCTGAGGGCTGGGCTGCGGGCTCGCCTGAACGGCCACGATGGCGGCGAGCACGAGCAAGAGGAACGAAGCGAAGACCTTCATGTTGACAGCGAAAGCGATGATGTGGGTGGCGAAAGGTGAGGTTCAAGGACGACGGGACACGTAGGGAAACAGCACGGCGCTCAAGGAATACGTCGCACGGTTTATATGGAGCGTCCATCACTGCGCCGTCGCTAACTCACTCTAGCCAAGGAAATCAAGGCATGCACAGGCCGCAGTATGCGCAGGGCGCAGGGTGCAAACTCGACGCCGCTCGCCAAAATCGGGCTGCGCACAGACAGAGGCATGATGCGATGGTGCTGCCGCCGCCGCTACCGGTGCTGCGTTCCTGTGCGACCGTGGGGCGGCTAGCATCACAGAGCAGGGCTGCGGTGCCAAAGTCTGAGTTTCGAGTCGTGCGCTTTTCAGGCAGTGTTGTTGTCGTCAAGTGACTCGCCTGTGTAGCGGTATGCAGCGGGATGGCAGGCAGCTGAGAGAAGCGTGGGGGATCTGCTCGGGAGGCACGGGAACGCTCGCGTGCGTGCGTGCGTCTTTTCGGTTGGTGTCTCTGGGTTGCAGCCGAGTCGAGTCGGTCGCGCTGCCGAGCCAGAGAGGCACAGGCCATTCCTGCGCACGTTGCGAGTGTCACGCGTTCCGTCGTTTGTGATATATCGCCTCCGCCTTGAGTCTCCTGCGCTACATTCAGGAACCAATTGGGAATGGATGTTAGCCAGTACTGCATGCCTTTACTCGGCCAACATGACCGACGGGGCAAGTTTGGCTATGTGAACCCTGAATATGGCGTCGAGGTGAGCTAGGAGCAAATGGAACCAAGGCAAGAGGAAACACTACCCGGGGCAGTGGCAACGCAGACGCGCTGCACATCTCCGTGCATCATCGGATGCACGCCCTCACTCGAGTTGAAAGAAATCTCTCGATGCCCTGTTTACCCAAGATGCTTACAACCGGAGAGGAGCATCTCGACTCAGACGGGCTACCGATGCGCTTAATCCTGGATGCTGAAAGGGGCAACTCCGACACTGAGGGCAGCGGTCGCATACAATTCGGATCGAGGATCAGCTCGGTTGTGTTCCGCTTCCGTGGGAACGCTTTGCGCTCGGGACCAGGAACGCATCGGAATTGCCGATACCACCACACCCCAGGTGCCATTGTCACCTCTCTCTCACTCGGATTCTCAAAACGATTCCCACCGTGGGCGATCCGCTGCTATTCCCACCTCGGCACGAAGCCGATTCCCACCCTTTGTTCGCTTGGATGCGCCTTCGCTTTGTGCTGCAGCTTCCTTTCCTATTCGAGGCTGCGGAGTTGTGATGGCGGATCAGCTTTGCAGCTGCGACTGCACCCCAATCAGCCTCCGTTGTTCTGGCCTGCAGCGTCTACAGCTTCGCCTGACGTACGAGGCGTACATGCATCCGAAAAGGGCAACCCGAACAATGCTTTGCAGCTTCAAGATCACATTCGCTCGCTGCTTGGCGGTCCTTCGCAAGCGACCCGAAGCGAGTTCGCTCGGTTCCTCCGCAGCTTTCAGCAGGGCAGCTTCAAAGCCGCTCGCGAATGGGATTCCCGACCTGCTGTGTGCCTCTTCCGATGGAACCGACGGCCAGTGCCACGTCGGATCGGCAGATCGTTCATGTGAGCCGATCTTGAGTAATGTTAAGGCGGAGACAATTGCGACTTTCGCATCGAATCAGCCGCTCGCCTTCGAACCGATTGCGAGCTCAACTCTCAACGTATTTACAATCGCACAACGAGCACCAGCACATTCACGACAGAGTCAGTTGCGTTCAGCAAGTAGATCTTTTATTTTCTGGAGAGGGCAGCATGTAGCAGCTAGATCTATAGGCACTCTGACCACTCAGAGCTTGAGGTAGCCCTTGTTGAGGAGATACTCGGTGATGATGCGCACCGAGTCCTCGATCGAAGTTGTGTCGGCGTTGATGTGGATCTCGGCGTTCTCGGGCTTCTCGTAAGGGGCCGAGATGCCGGTGAACTCTTTGATCTCGCCGGCCTTGGCCTTCTTGTAGAGACCCTTGGGGTCACGGCTCTCGCACGTCTCGATGCTGGCGTCGACAAACACCTCGACAAAGGGAAGCTTGGGCACATGCGCCTCGTGGAGCTTCCTTGCGATCTCGCGGTCCGCCTTGTACGGCGAGATGAACGAGGTGATGGTGATCGTGGTGGACGACGCAAAGAGCAGCGAGACCTCCGAGATGCGGCGGATGTTCTCCTCGCGGTCCTTGGGCGAGAAGCCGAGGTCCTTGTTGAGGCCAAAGCGGATGTTGTCGCCATCAAGACGGTACGCCGACTTCTTGAGCGACAGCAGGTGCTGCTCGAGCGCAGTGGCGATCGTCGACTTGCCCGACGCAGACAGACCAGTAAGCCAGATCGTAAGTCCTTGCTGCGACAGCAGCTCGGCGCGCTCGTCGTACGAGACGTGGCCAGGGTGGAACGTGATGTTGGTCGCCATGGTGAATGTGTAAAGATGGTTACAGTGGGTGGTGTGCGGGAGACAAGCATCGCAGCCTACATCCGAAACGATCCATCTGATCCGCGGCCGCCCGGTTGAGTAGGACTCGCTCCCAAAATTCCAAGAGCTTCTTCTTCCGAGCTGCTGCCTTCTCAGCGGCTCATTTCCGGACCCTGGTTGTGTGTCTGTGCGGCGCTGCAGCTTGTGCTTGGCGGGTTCGGCTCAACTTGCCGTTGCTCGATCTTCATCTACAGGTTATCAGCTGCACGAGCACCGCACGGCAATCCACCTCTCCCACAATTTCCGTCAGCGCCAACCAATCCAGAGCCGCGATCTTCTCGCATCGCATGCACGTCAATCTTCGAAATGGCGCAATCGTTTCGGGTGAAAACGCTCGGATTTTCGGTGTTGCTCAAATGAGGCGTAACACGCCAAACTTTTCCGCAGGCGTCGTAAATGCGCCGGCCGCTCGGTCACCCCGCAATGCGGCTTTACGGCCTCCACAACCAAAGCCGGGCTGAAACCCCGCTCACACCGCCAGTCCTGTGAAGAGCTCGAGCACGGAACCCCACCCCCGCCCGTCGCTCAAGCCGACAGAACAATTCACCACCTCATCCTTGTCTCCAGTGACACCTAATATGCTGCCAAGTATGCAGTCTCGCACTCTGGCCCGGGCAGCCTTGCCTTTCGTACGAGCCTGGACACCTGCTCTTACGAGTACACGAGGGCTATCGACATCTCGGTCGGTGTTCGGACAGCAGGCGTCTTCGAGCACAAGCTTGGACGAATGGACACGGACGGTACAAGCACGCACGAGTACGATGCACGACTCTGCAGACCTCAACAAGGCAAGGCAATTACTGCTCATGCTTCCAAAGCTAGCAACCACGGCCTCTGTAACCTCCCCGGCCTATGAACTGTTCGAGAAGAACACTACCGAAGATGTGCTGGCACTTTCGCATGGCGGTCCTATGCCGTTAGGCTCCGAGCTGGCGCTGTTCAATCCACTGCTGAGTGAATCCACGCTCGGGACAGATGGCACCGAGCGGACGTTTGGGCCACCTGGCGGACTGGACCAACGCATGTGGGCGAGCGGATCATTCGAGTTCGAGCAAGGCAGAGACCTCAAGATCGGCCAAGAAGTCCAGTGCGAGGTGGCAATCGAGAGCGTTCAGCCGAAACAGGGCGCGAAGACGGGCTTGATGGTGCTAGTCACGAGGAAGCTCGTGTATTCGAGTCCGGAGGGCGTCGTCATGACCGAGCGCAGGTGCCACGTGTATCGAAAGCAGCGTCCCGCAGAGCAGCGCCGATACGTTGCTCCGTCGGCCGACAAAGCACCAAAGGTAACGGAAGGTAGGTAGGAGCAATTCGAAGAACGTGCTTGTCGACCGTGGTCAAGTCGCAACCCAGCGCTGACATCCTCAAGTTCTTCAGCGCGACTCCCAGTCGAGGAGAAGCAGTCCGACTTTGGCTTTGACTACTACGCTACCCGTGCGGCACTCTTCCGCTACTCAGCAGTGACATTCAATGCGCATCGTATACATCTCGACCCGGAGTATTGTCGCAACGAGGAAGGTCATCCAGGTAGGTTTTCGCTGTTCCAATTACATGGTGAGATCGAGGATATAAGTTGACCTTTTCTGTTCTTCACGGTATCGGTTCACAGACTGCCTGGTCCACGGTCCGCTGACAGCGACGTTGCTGCTGAATCTCTTCGCGGCCGCTGCAGACCAGGCCTCGGGTAAGGTACGAAAATTCGAGTACCGCGCCACTTCGCCTCTGACCGTCGAGCAGAAGATTCGATTACGAGGCGCCTGGGAGGGCAGCGATCGGAAGAAAGCATCGCTGTGGGCGCTCAACGAGGCCGGCACCGTCTGCATGACCGCCAAAGCAACGCTTTTCTGACCGCAGTCCCAAACAGCACATGGAACTGTAGCATGTTGTATAATTAAAAGGTGGCAGAACAATCAATATCACATAGGCTGGAAAGGATGATGAAATGGACCGGAAACAAGCCGACGTAGGCTATCTAGATCTTGGCATCATCCTTGTCAAAGTTGATCGAGACGCTGTTTACGCAGTGACGCTCGTTGGTGGGCGTGTTGAACCCCTCGCCTTTGAACACGTGGCCGAGGTGACCACCACAGGACTTGCAAGTGATCTCGATTCTCTCCATGCCCCAGCTGCTGTCGACGTGGCGATCGATGGCGCCCGGAATGGCGTCGAAGAAGGCGGGCCATCCACAGCCCGAGTCGAACTTGGTCGTGGCCTTGTACAGGGGCGAGTCGCAGCCCGCGCAGGTGTACACGCCGTCCTTGGGATAGTGCTTGTTGTACTTGCCTGTTCCAGCCATCTCGGTGCCCTTTTCGCGCAGAATGCGGAACTGCTCCGAGTTGAGCTTGGTGCGCCACTCGGAGTTCGACATGCCCTTGGGGAACGACTCGGGAGCGGCCTGAGACGAAGCAGTGGAGCCCATCTTGAAAGCGGCAGGGATAGAAGACGAGAAGGAGCGGAACGAGGAGGCAATCGGTTGTACAAAGGGAGCAGCAGCACTCGAAAGCTGCGTAGGCAAGTTGCCGTTCGAGGAGAGGACGGCTGCAGTGGCAACAAGGGCGCTTGTGCCGAGGAGAGTCTTGCGGAGAGGCGAAATGGTGTGAAGCAGGCGTACGGATTGATGGCCAGATCGAGCAAGAGCCATCAGAGTGTCTGTGTGCAAGACGGAATGAAGGAAGATACTGGTTGAGTGACAAGAAAGAAGGTGTCGTGTGCAAGCCAGAGCAACACTCCTGGTGCCCCCTGGAAGCCCCTTCGGCATACGGTAAGCAGCTTCGGTTCCTGTGGCGGGCGCTGCAGCTCAGCCTCCAGTTTGGCCACCCAAAAGCCGAAAGATGCCTGGTCCGTGGCATTTTCAGCCCCGAATGCCTCCACAAAGAATTTCGAGCTCTGAACTTGTTGTCACGACCGATCTCACACAACTGACCTTGCGCGAAACGAGAAAGACGCGTCGAACGCGTAAAGAGCTGCCAAAGTGGAGAATGCGTCACGCTCTGCAGTACAGTATGCTGCGCCTATTTTTTGTGGTGAGGGGGTGGACCCCGAGCCGGCCGTGAGCTTGTTCCGATGGTGGCAAGAAGACTATTCCCGTCCTCCCTTCTTCATCCTCCGACGTCCCTCCAGTGAGGATCACTCGTTGTGCGTCGACGAGCACCACACGCCACGATGTACTCGCCACCGTCTTCGCCGTCTGTGCTGGCCAGCACGTCGAGGCACAACATCATCCCGCCTCGGTCCAACGCAAACGAACAGCGACGACAGAAGTCGCTCCGCCTCTTCCTGGGCGACCAGTCCGACGAAGACACCACATCAGATAATGAATATGACCTCGACCGCTTTGATGATGGCGACAGTGATGCGGACAGTGGCCCTTCCACATCCACGTTCCGCTTGCAGGCTGGACCTGCTGCCGCCGCCTTGCTTTGCAGTCCACAGAGAAAGACGGCTCGGGCTCGGGCGTACGACGACGAAGAAGAAGGATCCCGAGCCCCCTTCTTTCAGCGTGCCCAAGCGAGGAACCAGAAACAAGCTGCTAGTCCGAAGAAACCGTCGGCCTTGGGGAGCACAGCATCCAAGCAGCAGACTGCCAACTCGGCAGCCATTCCAACCACTCCCACCAAGCGTCAGAAGGGCTTCGTCGTGCGCGGAAACGTGACACCCTCTCGTGCATTCAGCATCTTCAAGGCCGCCAAGCAGCGCAGTCAGCAGCGTCAACAACACGGCCTGCCCACGCCACCGAACACATCTCCACTGCGACCGATCATTCTCGACAGCTGCGACGACAGCCCTCGCCATGTGCTCGCGAGCCCTTCTCAGCATCAACAAACGCACCGTGGCTTGTTCCTTTCATCCTCGTCTCCAATATCTGCAAGTCGATCACAATTGCAAGTGATGGAAAGCCCGAGCCGCAGTAGCTTGACAGCTACATCACGACACACTGTACCACAGTACAAACCTTCTGCCTTTTCGGCAGGCACCGGCAACGCTCGGACCCTCTCCAACTCGCTGTTCAGCTTGCGCACACGCCAAGGCTTGCATAGCGGACACGGCCTTCTCAGCAACAGTCGCCACTTTTCCGCCGCACGCACGCCGATCTTCGACTCGACGTCGTATCTCGAAACATTCGTCTCGCCAGCTTCGTGCCAGTTCCAGAACCCGCGGAGTGCGGACCAGGAGATCTTGTCTCATCCTATTAGTGCAGCCTACAGCTATTCGTCGCGCTCGGTCAATCCGTCTGCGCAGTGGCTCGCAGTCGGAGACGACGAGGGCCGCATCACACTGCTCAACACCTTGCCGTGGCAAGACCCGGCGGCAGAATGCTTTGCGGGAAACCCACAGTGGCAAGCCTCGACTTCGGCGGCGATCTTCGAGGTGGTGTGGAGGTTCGACGACCGCAGCCTGCTGTCGGGCGCGAGCGACTTTTCGATCCGCAGCTGGGACACCGAGTACCAGAAGTGCACCGCCGAGTTCGAAGGGCATGGCGGAAGCCCGCGCACGATCGTGTACGATCCGACCACCAACGGCGATGGCGGGTGCGGCATGGTCTTTGCGAGCGCGGGCAGGGACGGGACGATTCGTATCTGGGATGCGAGGACCAGCTCACGCGGGCACACGCCCGGTTGCGATGAGGATTCAGACAGCGTGGGCGTCAGGCCTGTGCTCACGATCAATGCAGCGCATGCCACGACGTGGGAGAACAACTCGATGGCTAGCAAGGGTCGCAAACATGCCCGCAGCGGTGCTGCAGTAGGAGCGAGAGGCAAGAAGCGCGCTCAACAATCACTCCCAGCTGGCGTCACGGCACTCTCGTATCTGCCAGATGGGCAGGGCCACAAGTTGCTCAGCGGTGGCTCGGCCAATGGCATCATCAAGTGCTGGGACCTTCGTCACGTCGGCCAATCGCACGGAGCAACACCAGTCGCCCGGGTAGACACTGCATCCGCATCGCTCGGCAAACGGGGCGCAGATCTGCCCGCAGATGCACCTATCTCGGCGGGATGGCAAACCCCAGATCTGTCCATGCTCGGTCCTTCGCCCTCGGTCGGGCTGCGCAGCTCGCACGGTCTTTCGCAAATCGTCTCGTCGTCCACCTCGCTGTTTGCCTCATGCACTGGTGGAAAGATCCATGCGCTTCCGCTGTCGACGTTTCTCGACTCGCATCTGGTGGCCTCGGAAGTGCAGACGCTGTACGAACCGGTGCAGTGCCAGAACACGCTGTTTTCGCGCATGGCGCTCTTCGACGACCGCTTCCTCGCCGTGGGTTGCAATACGGGCAACATTGCGCTCTGGGACGTGCGTCTTGATCGCACGAACCAGATGTGCCAGCCGCAGCGTGCGGCGGAGAAGGATCTGTTCGAAGAGCGAGAGTACGCCCAGTGCGAGGAGCTCGGCTTCGCACACAAGTCAACGCACGCTGGAGGCATGGCTGTGCTCACCGAGGGACACCAGAGGAATACAGAGGTCAACGCGGTCTCGTGGGCGAATGGTCCCAACGGTCCAACGCTCAGCTCGGTCGGTGACGACACTTTCATCCGCACCTGGTACCCGGATCGCGACCTCAGACACACCATTGCATCCGCAGAGGCGACTCGCGACTGAACCATGCACTTTTCTCGATTCTCATCCAAGCCTCATCTCCTATCGACACATTAGCATTCAACAACTAGCATTTCAGAATCATCATTCCGACCTTGATCGGCAGCATTGCAACCACCACGACATTTTCACACCATGACTTCGATCCAGGAAAGTCAAGAAGATCCATGAGTGGCAGCCGTTCGTGACATTGCAGTTCAGCCTGTGAGGCCGTCCCAGATGTGCATGGTTGCATCGTAGAACGAGCAGCTGTACACCTTGTGCCCCTCTCCCGGCTCGGTCTCTGCGGCACGGTCCCAGTCGCAGCCGTACGCAAGGCTCTTGTGCTCGTCAAACCGCGTGACGATCTCGAACTCCTTGCCTCTCAGCTCGGCCGGCTGTGGGTCGTCTTGAGTCAAGTCGGCCAAGCTGAGCACTTTGAAGCCGTCGTGCATGCACGCGACCAAAAGCTTATCTGGCTGGGTCGGATGCCACTTGATGCGCCAAACGCCGCCGCCAACGTTGGTCTCGCTGAGTGGACGTGCGGGCATGCGTGCATCAAACAGCCGCACGCGCGAGTCGTAGCTCCCCACGGCCCACAAATGCTGCCGCAGATGATGCGACTGCAGACTCGTCACTCCGCCATCGAACGGTTTTGTGCAAGTGAACGTTGGTGATGCAGCCTTGCTCAGTGTGGGACCGTCAGAACGCAAGTCCCAGCCTTTGAGACTCAGATCATCGCCTCCAGACCACACCGTGGTAGGGGTAAAACAGTCGAAGCCTGCGATCCATGCCTCAAAGTCGTGCGCCTGCCACGTCGTCAGACCGCGCGGTTTGGACGCAAAGGCCGAGTTGAGCGCAAGGTGCGCAGCTTCCAAAGCGGCCATCCGCTCGTCCTCGCTCGTTCGGTCCCAGTCATCACTGCCCGCTTCTGATCCCGCATCCTCCGAGGTCTGCTCCAGTGAAGCTTGCTGTAGTGTGTCGCTGAGACCATCGACAGAATCGACGGAGCTCAACGCGAGCTCGAGGCTGGGCAGGTACGCAAGCGATCCGTCGCTCTGCGAAACGATGAGCGAGGTATCGCTCGCAAGCTCGTCCATGTTGTATCCTCCTGCAAAGCCACCTCGGCGGTCGGAGAAGTCTAGACTGAGACAAAGTGCGCTGCGGTCATTGAAGCGCAGCTCCCCAAATGACTGAAATCGTACTTCCGAGGATGAAGCTCCAGTCGTGAGGTGGCTGAGACGATGTAATGTCACCTGTCCTTTCGCGTCGGCAATGCCAAGCATCCTGCGAGGATCCCCATAAGGATCATTCGAGAGACCCGATCGTGTGAGTGACCACTTCATGTCTAGAATAGCAGGCGTCTCGATCATGTCGAACTTGTTGCATCGAACTTGACCGCGCGTCTCGGGATCCGAGCAGGCGGAGTACAGGCTGCACGTTCCGCGTCGAGTATAGGCCGGACTGGTCGAAGTACTGGCCTGGGCTTGATCTTCCTCATCGTCGTCCTCGTGTGCGTTTGTTGAGTCGGCCTGCCTCGCCGTAGAAGAAGATGAGCCCGCTTGTGCCTGTTCCTGCTCGTGCTTGTCGACCTGGTACGTGGCCAGCGCAAACAGGCCGCGACAGCCTGGCACCGACTCGACCGAGTCAGCACACAGGTCAGTCGATGCCGTGAACAGCGACGCGGCAACCGTTCCCGACATTGATGCTGTTTTGGATGCCGAAAGTCCAGGAGATGAAGCGGAGGAGCTTGGCGTGTCGGAAGATCGTGGACCAGATTGCAAGAAAAGTGAGCTGCCACCGTTCTTCTTCGGCATTTTGGAGGGCAAAAAATCCGGCTCAAAAATTCAAGGGTCCAAAAATCGACACATCGTCATGCCACTATCATGTCGGGGAGGTCTTCTCGGACTGCACATGCTCGGCGATGTTCACGGTATCATGATGCGAATGCAATGACAACAAGGCGAGTGTACATACAGCATACACACTAATTCTCTTGCTACAGCTTTTGGATCTTTCAATCAGCTAAGGACAAGGCCGATCTCTCTGCTGATGCCGCTGCGGATCCAGCCTTCCACAAACGCCTGCCCGGTAAATAGCAGCACCGTGAGCGTCCAGACGATCGAGATGGGGCGGTCGTACCACATGCTAAAGTACTTGCCGCCGGCGCTGGAACGTTTCCTCGTCTTTTCGACGTACCGCGCAACCGCCCCCTCTAAGATCACGGCCACACCGTTGAGGAAGAAGAAGCTGAACTCGCCCGCTCCCGAGATGGGCGGTACAAACTGCAGTGGGCTCCACTTGAAGATGCCTACAGCTGCCAAGCTCGGGTGCGCACGAAGCTCATGACCCATGCCCCTGGCATGGGCCCTTTCGAGCCAGATATTGGTGACGGGCACAGCGATCCTTCCGCCGAGTGCAGCGCGTTCCGAGACCGCATGGATGAAGCCGGACGCTGTGAAAGCTCCCAGCACCTTGGCCCAGTCTGCCCTGCCGCGCTCGAGCGCGCGCATGGGGTCAGGGTGATACGAGGGCCAGATCTCTCGTCTCGCTTGCTTGCGCTTTGGGTCGTTGAGCTTGCCTTGCCACAGGTCCTCCATCAGATAGGCGATGTAGGTGAAGGGAAGCGTACCGTAGACGCCAAAGGGACGTCCGAAGAGACGGTGCCAGGCATAGCTCCAGAATCTCCTCACCGTGGTAGCCTGCGTGTATCCAGCCGGATTGAGAAGCGGGAAGAAGTCGATGTTGCGCAGCGTCAGCTGCTGGTGCTGCATCTGTCTGGCTTCCAACGCCAGCGGCGACTCGTCCTCCGTTTCAGTCTCGGTCTCGGAATCATCTCCCCCACCCTTCGCACCGCGCAGCTGCTTGAGGCGGTCTCCCTTGATTGTCTTGCGGTTGCTCTTGAGCACGGCCTTTGACGAGACGGCAGGGACCACGGCATCGTGAAGGATTGGTAGAGCAAATGCGCTCGTGAGCGTGTAGCCAAAGTCGAAGAGCGTGTACAGCGAGATGCCGGTCGCCGCGACGAACAGAACCCGCCTGGCCGGATCCAGATCCAAGATGGTCGGATTCAGGGTAGAGAGGTGCTTCGGATGCAGGTTGTGGATCGTCCAGATGCATCCAACGAGGATTGGCAACAGCTTAAAGAAAGCTCGTCGAAGCTGTGCAGACGATGGCGGCTGCCAGGGGTGAGAATCGTGGCGAACATCAGCCGAAGCAAAGTCCCACCCGATGCCTCGCATGCTAATCATGAGGTCGAGAGCCCACCACGCACGGTCGAACGAGATGAGCTTCTTGGGCAGCGGTTCGGTCTTCCACGTTTCGTTCCTCGCAGACGTGTACGGATGCACGATGTTGGCACCCTTGCCGTCCGGGCGCTTTCCCGCTGGCGAGATGAAGATACGGCGGGGAATGCGCGGGTACGAGAGGAAGAAGATATCGAGCACGCGGGAGGCACCGTAGAGACCAACGAGCCCGAGCTGGTACGTAAGAATCGCGCTTCCAGGATAAAAGTACTTGAACGGGAGTGCTGCAAACGTGTAGATGGAGACCAAAGCCAGCACGGTTCGTACTGCCGAGGCTGCTCTCCTCACTGGGCGTGAGAACGATTTGGAGGATAATGGCGGTAGTAGAAAGAGGGCGACGTAGTAGGTCAGCGGTGGAACCACAGCTGCCCAGATGGGTAGCGGCCTCGTCGACGGACCTGGCACGAAGAGGTGGCCAGTAGCATGTCTGGAGTAGGACGACATCTTGTCTGCCGCTGAAGTTGTCCAATCAAACACTCGTCGAAAAGCATCTGACAGGGGGAGGTCCGACATGGCGGACGTTTGCCAGGGCCTAGGGTATATAAGCTATCCTGATCTCGGTGAACCAAGGTTCCGAAGCGATTCTTGCTGGAAGAAGCAACGAACGGGAGATGGCCGAGTCTGGACCTTGCTCACCCAAGCATGTCAGGGATGCCTCGGACAGGGTTTCGCGTTTTTAGATCTCTAAGCCGACTGCTCGCACTGAGCTGAGGCTAGCATCCGGAATGTCAGATGAGTGAGGACAAGATTCGTTACATAGGCGCACAAAGGCAGCAGCAACGGGTTCACTGCATAGGAGCTGTCGGCCTGTGGAGGCACCACGGGAAAAGCTCGACATGATACAGCCAGCGGCCAGCCGATGCGGCGGCGCAACTTTGCACCTCGCTTAACGGCGTACGACAAGGCGGCATGACGGGCAAGCTTGAGGCCACGAGACTCGGTGGCCGGCGAAAGGAGGCAGAGGGTCAGGGAGGATCTGCTCGCCTAAGCTGGTGACGTCTGTGCTCCCGTGGCCTCGCTTTGTGTGGAGAATCGAGAGAGTGCCGTGTCTGACATCGAGCCCGGGTATATCGCCGATCCGCTACGGCCGCCTCTCCGATTCGGAAGCTCTCCATCGGGCAGGGTCCAAAAATTTGCCGGGAAAAATGCGAACAGCGGGAAATTTTGAGAAGAATTCAAAGAAGGCGCGGGGGTCCGAACGAGCCAAGTCCGAGTCGAGTCCCAGCAGTGGGCCCCTTGTCCTCCTTTCACACCACCGTCTCTCTCCACCACAAAGCAAACGCAAAGATGACGACGAGCACCACAGAAAAGGCGCTTGAGGACCAAGTCAAGTCGGTCCACAAGAAGGAGAAGAAGGACAAGAGCGAGAAGAAGGACAAGAAGGACAAGAAGAGCAAGAAGCGCCAGGCGGACGACGAGGACTCGAACGGCGCTGGCGATGCTGAAGATGACAAGGCAGCCAAGAAGCGTAGGAAGGAGGAGAAGAAGGCAAAGAAGGCCGCTGCCAAGGCAAGCGCCGCTACCTCGGTGGAGTCGACTCCCGCTGCCACTCCGGCTCCCGTTGCCTCTACTTCGGCTGCGGCGTTCACACCCACCAACCCAGCAGCAGCACGTGCGTTCCTCGAGACGAACAACATCACCATCGAGGCACCCGAGGAGTCCAACGAGCGCCCGCCGCTGCCCATGGTCGACTTCCGCGAGCTCGATGGCAAGATCGACGCTGCTGTCAAGAAGACGCTCGACGCACAGGGCTTCACCACGCCCACACCCATCCAGGCGTGCTGCTGGCCAGTGCTGCTTCAGAACAAGGACGTGGTCGGTATTGCCGAGACGGGATCGGGCAAGACGTTCGCATTCGGCCTGCCTGCCCTGCAGCACCTCGTGACCAAGCACAAGGTGCTCGACGGCAGCAGTAAGAAGAAGGCCAAGGGTGCCCAGGTCAACGTGCTCGTCGTCGCTCCCACGCGAGAGCTGGCCATCCAGACCGAGGAGAACATGGCCAAGCTGGGCAAGTCGATGGGTATCGGCATGATCTGCCTGTACGGTGGTGTGTCCAAGCAGGAGCAGGTGCGTCTGCTCAATCAGACCCCCACCGTTCGCATCGTGGTGGGCACGCCTGGACGAGTGCTGGATATGGCCAGGGATGGATCGCTGGATCTGTCCAACGTGACCTACCTGGTGCTGGACGAGGCTGACCGCATGCTCGACAAGGGCTTCGAGCCCGATATCCGTGCGATCATCGGCATGTGCCAGTCGCGCGAGCAGGGCCGTCACACGTCGATGTTCTCGGCCACATGGCCACCCGCGGTGCGTGGACTGGCCGAGTCGTTCATGAACGGCCCCGTCCGTGTCACGGTGGGCTCAGACGAGCTCTCTGCGAACCGACGTGTCGAGCAGACGGTCGAGGTGCTCGCGGACGGCTATGCCAAGGAGCGCCGACTCAACGACTTCCTCCGCTCGGTCAACGCACAGCGCTCCAAGGACAAGATCCTCATCTTTGCGCTGTACAAGAAGGAGGCGCAGCGCATCGAGCAGACCCTCCGCCGTGGTGGTTTCAAGGTGTCGGGTATTCACGGCGATCTTGGCCAGAACGAGCGCATTGCGTCGCTGGAACGCTTCAAATCGGCCGAGACGCCGCTGCTGGTGGCTACCGATGTGGCAGCGCGTGGACTGGATATCCCTAACGTCGAGCATGTCATCAACTACACCTTCCCGCTCACCATCGAGGACTACGTGCACCGCATCGGCCGTACCGGTCGAGGTGGCAAGACGGGCAAGAGTCTCACCTTCTTCACCGAGATGGACAAGGCGCACGCCGGCGAGCTTATCCGCGTGCTCAAGGATGCCGACCAGAAGGTCCCCGACGATCTCACCAAGTTCCCCACCACCATCAAGAAGAAGACGCACTCGAGCTACGGCGACCACTTCAAGGAGCTTGTCCCGGGCAAGGCCAAGAAGATCACCTTTGACGACGACTAATCTGTGTATCCCTTTGCACGCCTAGATTTGCATCCGTTTGAATTGTACTTATGTAGAGGTCATGACTATTGCACTCGTTTGATCATCCGAGCCAGTCGTCTGAAGGCTTGTGAGATTGACTGACATGGCCCCGGTATAGGCGGAGAGGGAGCAGGGGCAGGGCGTGATGTGCGGTGCCTCTTGTGGAGGTTGTTGGAAGCTGTGAGATGACGCGACTGGATGAGACCGCCGCAAGCGAAGAAAGGAGGACCCTGAACTGCCCACTCATCGCGAATTTCCTGCGCCAGATGCCCAGATGCAGCTGACTTTTGACAGCTGCAGACGGTGTTGGGCAGCAGCTTAGCGTAAGGGTGCTGTCACCGCTGCTTCGTCGGAATCGGCCCTGCCTGTCTTCATGGGGATCTTACCCCTTGCTGGGAGAAGAAGCATCTACACACAGAACCACCAAATACACCCGACACACATCCACTAGACACCACACACTTGTGAACATTCGCCGAATCTCGCTTTCAACCAATCTTCGAATCACAGTTCCAACATGGCTCCCAACGTCGCCATCATCCAGGGCACCGGAAGCGGTAAGTTGTATCGACCAGGCAGGGAGAAAGTCGTGAACCTCCAGCTGACAGTAGGCTTTGCATTGTTTGCGACTGGACCGACCCAACAGGCATCGGCGCGCAGATTGCCAAGCAGTACCTGTCGCGTACTGGGCTGCAAGTGGTTGCGCTCTCGCGTGATGCTTCTCGCGCCAAGGATGCGATTCTCTCCGGCGACTCCTCGCTGGACTCGTCGCGGCTGCACACCTTCTCGCTCGACATCAAGTCGGAAGAGTCCTACGACAAGGTCGCCTCCGAGGTCTCGTCGCGCTTCGGCTCTTCGTGCCTCAAGACGCTGTGGAACATCAACGGGATTCTGCATGCCGAGAAGAACCTCTCGCAGATCACCTACGACCATCTCACCGAGACGTTCGCCGTCAACACCTTCTCGCACCTCATGGGCTTCAAGCACTTTGTGCCGCTCGTCCCGCGGGGTGCTGAGGCCAAGAAGATGCTCGAGGGTCAGTCGGATGACGTTGCCCAGGGCGTGCTTCCGAAAGACCTCTGCGTGATTGCTAGTCTCAGTGCCAGGGTCGGCTCGATCGGCGACAACAACAAGGGCGGCTGGTACTCGTACCGCGCCAGCAAGGCCGCGTTGAACCAGCTTATCAGGACGCTGTCCAAGGAACTCGAGCTGCGAAGCGTTCCGGCTATTTCCGTCGGGCTCCACCCGGGCACCGTGCGCAGCAATCTGTCCAAGGACTTCACCGGCGGCGAGGGAAGCGACAAGCCCCTCGACAAGAGCAAAGGCCAGTTCGAGGCTAGCGAGGCAGCCAAGAATCTGGTCGACGTCGTGGGTGGTCTGGGCAAGGGCGACAACGGCTCCTTCAGGGATTACAAGAACGACATCATTCCATGGTAGAAAATCAGCATGCAACTGTCGTCGGCGAATTAAAGCATTGTCAGTCCAGTCAGAGGTGTTTTTGCCGTGCGATGTCATTGGTGGATGCTTGGTGGGCACATTGATGAACTGTGGCGGGTAGGTGCGGCAAGCGAGGATCGCCTTCATGACCGAGTCGGACGCAACCGTGGCTTCTTTAAGCCCACCTACCGTCGTTGTGGCGTGGACCCCGGTTCATTTCGGCGGGCGACACGCAGGCCTCGTATTGCTAAGCGATACCTGCCTTTCCCTTAGCACCCCTATGCAGCCTTTAAAATGCATCTCAGGCTGCTGTGGAACGTCGCTCCCCACCACGATTGCTGGACCGATCGAGCGAAACTATACTGCTGGACGCGAGGACCATGAAGGCATCATCTCAAGCCGTCACTTTGGCCTGCGTGGCCCTTGTGCTTGCAGTCTGCCATGGCGCTGTGGCGACCCATCCAGAAGGCGCAAGAAAGATGGTCAGGCTTCACGCTCGTATGGAAGCCAAGGCTGCGCCTGCACCCGCAGCGAATGCCGCTCCTGCACCGCCAGCCAAGGACGCTCCTGCACCAGCTGCCAAGGACGCTCCAGCACCCGGAGCGAAGGCTGCTCCTGCACACGCAGCGAAGGTCGCTCATGCACCAGCAGCGAAGCCGGACCAGGCCGACAATCCCGCCTCGCTGGCCGAGGAGAAGAAGGTGGATCCGGGCATGAAGCTGAGCATGGACAGTGATGCCACCTTGTCGCTGCAGCATGCCGAGGCGATGCGACTGATGATGCGCAACAAGGCCGAGCTCGTCATCGCCTCGCACTCTGGCGGCGCACTGTCATCGTTCGACGTGGACGAGATCCTTTCCGGCACTGCTGCTTCGCTTCACCCTGGAGTGCTGTCAAACATCAGCTGGACCATGGACATTTTCGAATCCGGCACCGCCCTCCCGACCACCTCGACCAAGGTTTCGGTCTCGCTTTCTTCGAGCTCCAAGGTCAAGGGCAACGTTCATACCGCCGAGATCTCTGGTGAGCACAACGCCTTTAGCGATGCTCGTGATCTCAACCACGATGGCATCATTTCGGTCGACGAGATGCTTGGCTCATTCTTCCATGCCGACGACGTCAACCACCTCTTCGACCAGGTCCAGGCTGCCAGTAGCCAGCAACTGGGCAAGGTTACCAAGAAGGAGATCATCAAGCAGAAGGCACCTGTGCTGCACAAGACCATCGAAAAAGTCGCCAGCCACCGCGGTTGGGGTATCCAGGACGCCCGATTCGCCCAGCTCCACCTCGACACCCCCACTTCGCCTACCGCGCACAAGGCTTTCGCCGACTACAACACGTTTGTCAAAACCATGCGCAGCGCCCTCATCACCCCTAGCGATGCGGCCAAGGACACCGCTGTCGACCAGCTCAAACAGCCCCAGGCTGCCCGTGCCGATCCCGCCACCAAGGCCTAACCCTCCCCCCCTCTTTTCTTGCTAGATTCCGTTACATGTGGCCGAGTCTCGTTCTGACTAATGCTAGCTCGCAGCCTTGAACAATGAAAGCCTGTGGTAATTGACAGCAGCGGTGACCTGGTATATATGCGAAAAGACGTGCGACGATGCTCGGGGTCGGGGTACACCTAGAAATGCGATCAATACATTGTCAACGACAAGGGGCTTGCGATCAGCAGCAGCCACCCATCTTATCGCCGATAGCCTCTTTGATGCGTAGTGCTGGCCCGCCTCTCCTCTGTGGGCGGAATGTGCTGGGGTCCATATCGGCAAAGCTGAATCGGCTGCCGCTGCCGACCCTCCTGAGCGCGCGGTCGCCGTATGAAATGCCTGACCCCGCCTTTTCCGGGTCGAGCTTGCCCGACTCGATGGCGAGCAGGATGCTTCTTGCTGCGAGTGCAAATGGCGCCTCGACGTTCTCGCCCGTCATGGAAGAGGTCTCGAGAAAGAGAACGCCGTTCTCGTTGGCCCACTTGCTCGCTTCGAGGTAGCCCACCTCGCGCTCGTCGTCGCCGCGGTCTGTCTTGTTGCCCACCAGCACGACGACCAGATCGGGCGACGCCAGCGCACGCGCGTCTGTGAGCCAGCGCGATAGCGGCTCAAATGTGGATCGTCTGTAGATGGAATGCGTGCAACAGGTTCAGGAAAGTGGTCAGTACATGAATTGCACGCCGGAGTGCATCGTAAGTAAGCACGAACTTTGTGATGTCGTAGACGAGGAGCGCACCTGCTGCGCCGCGGTAGTAGCTCCTTGTTACGGATCGGAAGCGCTCCTGGCCTGCGGTATCCCAGAGCTGGAGCTTGACGCTCTTGTTTCCGATCTTGATGAGGCGGCTCGAGAACTCGACGCCGATGGTGTGCGCGGACTGGTCCTTGACTGTGGTGTAACGAAGCAGCGTGGTAATGGCGTCTTTGGTCAGGGCGTGGTGACGGAGTGTGTCGCAGCTAGGGATGATACGTACACTGGTTGTGAATGAAGTGATGCAGCAGGCACGATTTGCCTGTGCCTGCCTCGCCGATGATGATGAACTTGAGCAGGAAGTCTGCGGGCGAAGCGAGCAAGCGGGCAATGCAGGTGATGTGAGCACGGATCCCTTGCCAGGACGAGTGAGGAAACGCGGTGAAAGCTTACCGTATGCCGCCGACATCTCGAGCGATGCTTGGTCGTCCATGGCGTGAGATGAAGCGCAGTGCTGCACAGTGGTCGCGAACGAGCCGTGTGTCCTTCCAGCTGCTTCCGGCCTAGTAGTCAAATGGTGTAATGCGAGTGGGCTAGTTGATGAGCTCTCTCGGATGAGTGGGGTCCCCTCTGTGTGCGTTTGTGAAAGCGACGCCGCTGATAGTGTTGGTGGTGCAAAGTGGGGCTGAGTCGGGAATGCAAAGTGTCCGGAGGCGATCGATATTGAGAGAGGTGTTGCGTGCCGAGGTTATGGCAGCGATGGGTGATGATGACAAGGTTGAGGGTGGAGTGGTGGAGAGCAAGTGTGGCGTGTGGATATGCAAGTGGCATCGTTGCAAGTGGAGCCTGCATGTGCTCGCGCTGCCAAAAGATAGGCGGCAGCCCAGCGCTTCACGGCAACCGAGCAACAGCAGCAGCTGCTCCAGCTCACGCGGCACTCGGCTGCCTCGCTTTGGCTTCAGGGTTCGCGTGCAGCAGACCAACGCTCTGTAACTCAGCTGCACGATTTCCACATTTTTCGGGAGCGGCCCCGGCTCTCCCAGTTTTCGCAGCGCTGTGCCTCTCGTTTCGCGCGAGTCTGGCAAACGCAGCAGCACCTCCTGGAACTCGGAAGTCAGCCGCAAATCCAACGATGAAATGCACTTCTTCTGCTCGGCCAAAGTCGATTCGACAGCATATCTCTGCTGACTTCACGCGGCTACCCTATCGGAATTCATCCGCTCTGCCATCATCACACGACTGGGGAGTCGTCACACGCCATCGGAACCATGCCGTCGCAGGAAGAATACGAGGCGACATTGGCGGAAGAGCTCGAGGTGCTCGAGAGCATCTACATCGACGAGCTCGAGAAGATCTCTGTCGAGGAGCTGCACATCCGCATCGAGCCCGAAGAAGAGGTGCTTCCACTGCTCTTCTCCATCGGCATCGAGCCGGGCCAAGCACCAACAGAGAGCGTCGAAGATGGCTCGCCCTCGCCCATCGTGCTCTCGCTCCACATCCAGTACACGCCCGACTATCCCGATGCACCACCCAACATGTCGATTCACGTGCTCCGCGATACCAAGGGCGTTCTCGGACCTGTCGTATCTGACGACGACGATGCCGAAGAGGAATCGAACTCTGACAGCCCCGGAGTCACCGAGCTCCAACAAGGCCTTGACGAAGTGGCGGCAGAATCACTAGGCATGGCTATGGTCTTTACGCTCGCCTCGCATCTTCGCGAAAGCGTCACCACGCTCGTCCAAAGACGTGTCGCCGAAATCGAAGCCGAGGCAAGCGCCAAGCGTGAGGCTGAGATCGAGGCCGAGGCGGAAAAGTTCCGCGGCACCGCCGTCACGCCGGAACGCTTCGCCGAGTGGCGCGTCAAGTTCCAGGCCGAGATGGCGGAGAAGGAAAAGAAGGAAGAGGACGCCAAGATGGCCAAGATGTCAGCCAAGGAGAGAGAAGACTACAAGAAGGGCAAGGTCAAGCCGAGCGGAAAGCAGCTCTTCGAAAAGGGCGGCACATTCGAGGACGACGATGCCGTCGACGAAGAGGCACAGGAGGTCGACTGGAGCCTCTACACGCGCGAGCAGCGCGAAAGGGAGAGGAGAGAACAGGAGGAGCAACAAGAGCTCCAACAACGCACCGACGGTCTCGCTTTTGATGACGACGAGGACGATGCCTGAGTCGAGCCCATCCCGGCTTGCACCCCACATCCAGCTCCCACCCTTCCCGCATCGTTGCCGATATGGCTGCTGTACTTTTATGCATTGCAAAGATAGAATCCATCTACCATTCCCGCACAAATGCACTTTCGCGCTACCGTGCGGGCCTTGAGTGAGCGCTCGCTCGCTTGTTGGATCGATCGGGCCGAGCGAGATAACCGCACTGCGGCCAGCTGCCGGGTTTTGATTGCGCTTTGACCAGTGTGCGGGCGTGGCTGCAGACTGTATTTGGTGGCCGCATCAGGCCATTTTTGAGAGGACGCCGCTTTGGACCCTTTCGTGGCTCCCGCTCGTGCCGCCGCTTTCGATTCCGCTTCCCCGCACGCGGATCTTCCATCCGCGTCGTTAAAACGCGGTTACCGCCATCCGACCCTTCATCATACACACTCTCCATCTCTCCACCAACTTGCTCCAT